TAATGTTAATAAGAATGACCTTTCCATTTAAAACTGAAGCTGCTGTAATTTTCTAATTACTAATCAATGCGATATAGCGACCTGGAAATGTCAGAAATGCCACTTCCTGCTTCTGTGAATGGCTGACTGATTTTCCCAGAAGTCATCACTAAGGTAAAAGTAACATTTTAGTCATCTCTTGCAATAGTAGTTTCATTTTTGGTGAGATACTCCTGAAGAATGAATTACTATAAAGGGATGCCGACACTGCACCTTTCCTTATTACAACACAGAAAGTCCACAGGTTGATTATAATGAACACAGACCATCCCATTCAGGGATCAGTTGGGAAAGGACATGCTGCAACAAACAGCCATTTCTTCAGAACAGAAACAGGTAGGAATCTGCAACAATGTTTGTTAAAATCCTTGCAATGCACATTGATCAAACAGAGGGGATTGCTTTTTCTCAACAAAAGTGGAGTCACTGTTTAATAAATATTCTGTACCGCTTTACACAGTAGATGTTCACTGTTGACATCAGTTGCTGTCACAGTGGAGCTTATATGACAATAGCATCCCTATATCAGACCCGCATCAGACCAAATACACATTTAACGCCTTCCCGACCGATGACAGAATTATTCCATCAAAATCTTTAAGTTAGTTAAAGACTGGTGACAGAATAATTCCGCCATGTGGGAAAATGAAAAGGTCTGACCCAAGTAAACAAGAAAGTTATCAGTGCAAAAAATAAAATAAAGAGATATTTGTGACTAGGTATTAACCTCACACAGGTCTTTATTTTATTACAAGTTGTTGGCATTAGCTAATATTAACAAACCAAGTCACCAGGCAACTACAGATTCCAATGTATTACTGTTCAAAGCTGTGTTCTGTTTGGCTACTGTTGGTTCCCAAAAAGTAATGGAAACTATAATGTAGTTTTAGTGACTACACAATTTAAATTACCATTGTTACTATTGTTACCTGAAAGTCATATTCCACGTGCTGTGACATTTAATAAATAATGAGAGAAAATCAATTATAAGACATCTTAAGTGGAATTGGAATTGGGTCTTTAAAGAGAATTCCTGTTTGGAAAGAAGTACAAAAATCTCTTTTTTTTGCAGGAGTGCCCAGCTTAGAGCGTCCACTGATCAGCACTATTGAATGAGTAGCCAAGCAGCTCCAAATTCAGCAAAACTCTTCGCCTTTCCTGTTATGTTACCACTTCCGCCAGACGCAGTTCGGCCTCAGGGACAAGCTGAAAAGTTTTGTGTGTCTGTCGCAGCAGCACTAAATGGTCCTCTTGGCATATATTTTCTTTGTTAGTTATTGATGCTCACAAATAAAATATATTTGTTGGGAATATATGTATATAAGTATATACGTAATATATGTATTTCTTTTTTTTAGTCAGGTAATTGATACATTTTCCATATGAATATTTCATATTTGCCAATTGCAGCAATCATTTGGAGAGCATGAGACTACAGAGCCATGTAATCGCTAGGATGACTTGTGATGAGTGTAAAAAACCTGTTGTGTTGTGAATAACCAGTCTTGTGAACTGACAAATATAACAGCTGAATGACTCAGAGGAAGGACACACACCCCTCCCTCTGTCCTAGCAGAGACTAGGACCCTCTGGATTTTTCATCTGCAGCAATCAATAGGTGTAGGGCTGTTGCAAGCTTTCTTATAAGAAAAAGCCCATGTGCCCTGCCAACAGAGTATAGCAACTTGTAATAAATGTTAAGGTTCAACTCTTGACAAAACGTTTATTTTTAGATAGCCTTCCCCATTCTGTCGGAAAAAAAAAAGTTTTGTATAGAGTTGCCATTTAATTTGTAAAATAAAGGTAACACAATGAAAACATTACATAAAATATCAATTTATAAACTAGCAAAAATGAAATATAACAGAGCAAAAAGTATTTCTCTAAAAACTCCTTCCTTTAAAATCAGCATGTTGGAGGATGGTGGGGATGACCCATAGAATTATATAATAGAAATAAAATAGGATGAAAGGAGTATAAACTGTTCACTTAATTAAGCAAATTTTCACTAAGCTTAGTGAATGAGTTGAAGCTGTGCTGACTTTATCCAATCACGTGCAAGCAAATATCCTGTTTTTGTAATTTTCTTAGCAGATGATTGAATATTCTTTACAAAGTAAATATTTGCTTCACCCCATTTACTTTGCAAAAGCTATGTTAATATTCAGAGTGAGCATATTCTATTTCTTTATCAAATCAACCCCAATATATGTTCGGCATCTATGAGAATAGACTGAACAGCAGTGAGTAGCCTGCCGGAGGTTCGGCTTAATCGATCCAGAGGTTGGACGAATCAGAGGAGTCGAACTCCTACTGCACTTTGGGTCAGTTGAACACGCTGAGCATGTTCGGCCGACCCGAAGCCACACGAAGCAAGCTGATGTACAGCTGATTTCAGCCGATGTACGGCTGAAATTAGCCGTACCAGCCTGAAGTGAATAGCGGAACAGTGTTCGGCTCACTTCACTTCAGAACGGTCATTCACTCGGCTGCCCTCGGCAGATTCGTGAATAGACCCCCAAGTCTTAGTCCGTAGGGTTCAATATATTGAGTTGGCCCACCCTTTGCCACTATAACAGCTTCAACTCTTCTGAGAAGGCTCTCCACAAGGTTTAGGAGTGTGTCTATGGGAATGTTTAACCATTCTTCCAGAATCGACTGAGGTCAGGTACTGATGTTGGACGAGAAGGCCTGGCTCGCAGTCTCCTCTCTAATTCATCCCAAACCCAGACACGTCCATTGGATTGCCAGACAGAGAAGCGTGATTCATCACTCCAGAGAACACGTCTCCACTTCTCTAGAGTCTAGTGGCGGTGTTGCTTACACCACTGCATCCGACGCTGTGCGTGGCACTTGGTGATGTAAGGCATGGATGCAGCTGCTCGACCTTGAAAACCCATTCCATGAAGCTCTCTACGCACTGTTGTTGTGCCAATCTGAAGGCCACACGAAGTTTGGAGGTCTGTAGCTATTTACTCTGCAGACAGTTGGCGACTTCTGCGCACTCTGCACTTCAGCATGCGCTGACCCCGCTCTGTCATTTTACGTGGCCTACCACTCAGTGGTTGAGTTGCTGTTGCTCCCAGTTGCTTCCACTTTGTTATAATACCACTAACAGTTGACCGTGGAATATTTAGTAGCAAGCATATTTCACGGAACACCTGAATCCAATGATTTGGAGGGGTGTCCCAATACTTTTGGCAATATAGTGTATATATACTTTTTATAGCAGACTGCCATTTGTAGATCAATACTAATACTAATATTACAAACTATACATAGAAACAAGGTTTTTAAAACACAAATATGCATTAAAAAGACTTCCGTAAATGGACCACACAGCAATGCATATATACCTGTGTATTAACATGTGTTGCCATAATGTGTGATAAACTACACATTTTACTGTGCATATCTGCAACGCAAAAGTCTGATCCACCCATTGTCTGTCCATTTCCCAGTGACTTCAATCTATGTGATTTCCAGGTCCTACAGACTTTCTTTTCGTAGTTTTAAAACCTGTTTCGTTCTCTATGTAACTTGTAGATGCATGGCTGAATATTACAGAGTTATTCACAAAAGGGTGAAGAGTTTGCAGAAGGCAGGAGAAGTGAACAATCCAAGACAACATAGCTGAACTGGGAACATTCTCCAATTCAGCTCACTTTCCAGTTCAGTTATGTTGTCCTAGATTGTTCACTTGTCCCGTCTCCTCCAAACTCTTCACCCTTCTGTGAATAGCCCTGATAGTGACTGCACAGATCCAAACATGCAATTGCATCCAAGTTTTCTAAATTTAATTATAGCATATGTATTTTATGGCTATTTTGTTTTACAGGATTTATATGGTTTATGTGATGTGAAGATCATTTCATTTTGACGGCACTGATAATTATATCAGTAATTTGCTATCTCCTAGTTATGTCTATCTTTTAAAAGATTGACATTACTGACAAGTATCTCTACACCAGTCTCTGTGGTTTAAATGTAATTGTTGACAGCTATTGCAGGCTCAGTGGCTGTCCTCTTCACTATTTAGTGAGTCAGTTTTCCCAGAACAAGAATGTAGGTTAGGAGTCCAGAATGCAGTGTCTACATAGTTCTTCTGGGTCAGTGACTAAGTAGTGAAGTATGGCTAAAGATGACAGCCTAGAGTCTACATCTTTAAAAAAAAACAAGTCAAGAATTGCAGCTCTTGTATGTCTATCCTCCTAGATTACCTCTAAAGAGAAACCTGCAGTGAGAGAGGTGCAAGGGCTGCCACTGTTGTTCTCCACCTGATAAAGTTAGCTGCCTGGATGTCTCCGGCTTTAATAGTAACTGACCAGAGACAAGTCAGAGAATATTGAGAGTGAGGCAACTACACTTTTCAGAAGAATATCAGCAATTGCAGTTTTAGTATTTCTCTTATGATAGTTTTATCCAAATTCCTTCAAAGCACCAGTCCACCCAACAGTCATATTTTAGCAGTGGGTAAATCCGAGTAGAATAAATCAGCCAATGGATTTTTTAATTCCATGGATACTCCAACTATGCAATTTCCTCACCTTATTCCCATCTCCTGTTATTGTCTGCCTATGGGCTTTGGGTGTTCTTGCCCATCTATTCATGATCCAACTGCTCCTCCTGCAATCTCCATAATATAGTTAAATAATAAAAAAATAAAACAACAGGGAGTGTGGGACCCATGAGAATGACCACAGCAAGTGTACAGTGACAGGAACTCAAGGGAAAAAGTCTCACGAATAGAGTGGCCAAGAGATATAAGAAACTGTTAGGTAAAACTCTCCAGGTCCCACAAAAGCTGAAATAATTTGGGTAGACTGAGCCCAACGTGGCACACATATGCCTTTCGTATTAGGCCACTATCACTGAAAATGTAGATTTCTATGCATATGAAATAGTCCAATAAATATTTAAATGTATCTTCACACATTGAACATTTCATCAGGTGGCAAGTCTCAGTACTGGTTTGGGTCAAGTTGTTTGTATTTTCTTTTAAAGAAACCACACTGTAAAAAAAAAAGAGAATACATAATTAAAATTAATTAAAATTAAAAGTTTATTGTACTAGAAACATAAAATGATTACAAAAATGTTTATACAAATATATCACTGAGTACAAGTAGTACATTGACTATAAACGTCTCTGAATTTTCATTAGCTTCAAGTCTTAATAATTCAAGACAATATTAAGAACTGATCATGACTGACAATATACGTGCATGAAGCCACAGAGAGCAGTGGCTATTCTCCAAACTCGGGGGCAAATTCTAGTTACCGAGCAGGGAAACTGAACTTATCGAGCTTCAAATGAATGAACTGTAACATAAATCATATGTGAACAGGGGATATGCGATTGCTCACTGCTGTTGCTGAATTTTACATAAATATCATCAATCATGCCTAAAAAATAATACAAATAATAAGTTGGCTAATTTTACTGATAACAGCCAACAGGATGTAATAAACCATGGACAGCAAACATTCAACAATTTGAAAAGTTTAGGACAACTAATATCTTCATATCTCTCATTAGCCACTATAGAGCACACCCGCTCTTTCCTCCCAGGACTTAGGAAAACCCATAGATTTCTATAGCGGATTAAATGCATATTGTGATAAGTGTACAACTTAATCACCCCAAGGGGAAATATAAAGTAGAGCTCCAGCCAGAAATAACAAGATGAAAGTGAATAGCGTATTAAATGATAACATAACAAAACCATCTTTTGCAGCAATATTCAGATTCAATCCAGTGATTTCTTCTCAGTACATTGTTTTGGAGCTAGATGTCCTCAGTATAATGGCCAGCATAATTTAACTCACTTTCTCTAAGACCAGATCATTCTGGACCCACCCCAGGTGACTGGACAGTGAGAGGATAAGCAGCACAGTGATGAGCTCACCTCTCTGTCACTCTGCTTTCCCTTCCTATCAGCTTTTCTTTTTCCAGTGCATGAACTGATTGGCTCCTTGCACTGCTTCTCCCTCTTACACTCCAGTTCTGCCAAATGGAGGGCAAGAAGCTGATATCAGATCAAATTCAGATACTTATACTGCTGGCATTAAAAAAATACATGTAGTGATGTATTACTGATTATAGAGTTGCATTAATGTGTGTCTTTTAGAGCTATCTAGAGTTCAGCTTTAAGCTTTGAGACACTGCATTCAACCCATACATTTATACCTTCAGAAATCTTTAACTACCTCCGGGCCGGCCGTAGTAAAAAAACGGCTGGCCCGGAGCTCTCTAGGTCTGAGCGGGCGTCTTTAGACGTCCGCTCAGACATGCCCCCTGGCCGATATTTAAAAACAGGCAGCGATGCCTGTTACCATACAAGCGATCCGCCGGCGGATCGCGTGTATGGGGTGCCGATCGGTTCCCCCCCTCCGCGCCCCCCCCTGCCGTTGTCCCGCTGATCCCAGGATTAGCCCCCGTATGCGATAGCAATAAAGTTTAGTGAAAAAAGAAAAGGAAAAAAAATGTAAGTTTTTTTTAAAGTTACACATAAAAAAGAATAAAAAACAAAAAAAAGTCATCAACCATACATACACGCATGCAAACATGCGTCGGGGGCGCATACGTGCAAAAAAGACGATTGCACCCCTTACACCGCACATGTTACATATCGCCGTGAACGTCGGAGTGAGAGCAATAATTCTAGGGCCATCAATCACTGATAACACTAAACTGATGAGCGGTAAAAGCTTTTAAAGTGTCGCCAATGGCCAATTTTGGGTATGGTAGTTTTCTGCGATTTTGCGGGTGCGTGCAATTTTAAAGCTTGACATGTTTGGTGTCTATTTACCAGACGTGACCCCATCTTTTATATTTTACCAAAAAACTGGGTAATAATAAATGTTTCCTAACATAATGTTAAAAAAAAAACTTTTTTTCCCAAAATTTTCTGTAATTTTTCCTAATTATAGTAAAAAATAAAAACCCCAGTGGTGATTAAATACCACCAAAAGAAAGCTCTATCTGTCCCCAAAAAATGGTATAAAATTAATTTCAGTACAGCGTTGCATGACGGAATAAACGTCAGTCAAAGTACCGCAGTGCTGAATACTGAAAAATGGCCTGGCCAGGAAGGGGCCCTAAACACCTGGTCTTGAAGTGGTTAAATAGCTTTTTAACCTCCACAGTCCATAACCCCTCCTCATTCAAAACCCCATTTGAGAATTGATGCATTCTCAATCCCCAGGCAAGGAATATGATCTCCACCATCTACTAGCAAGTTGATGCCCAATTTCACTCAAATACAGTATGGTAGTGAATGGGGAAAGGACTGGAAACAAATATAGGACACAATCTACCATTGTTCCAAACCTAACTATAAAATGCTGCTACATTAGCACATGATAACCAAGGATGCCTCCCCCTACTGCTTTAGAGGTTGTAGAAAGATTAGTACACTGAAACATATCTGGTGGGACTGCTCAAAAATCAAATACTTTTTGATCAACATCTGTCAGCTTATTTACACAGTGTTGTGCAGAGGTACCAAAAAAAATCCTTTGAGGCCCTCCTACACTTCAAACAGGAAGGATGGAATAAAACCCAAATTGAATTCCTCACTTATTTATTTGCCACAGATACGCAGACATTGGTTAAAGCAAGGAGGTTGGCCATACCAATGATAGCACAGGTCATAAGAAAAATGTGGACAAATTAAAATCTGTCTGATAGGATTCTATGCGTAAACTCAAAAATGTATGGGCACCCTGGCTTGCCCATTATATACCCAATGACTCTGACCATGCACTACTAGCTAATTAATCATGAAGCTAACAATGTCTTCTTGTCTGTCTGTTAGATAAACTTACTCCCACTCCGTGGATAAGAAATATACATTAATTTGCTATTATTTGTTTGTATTATTTATTTGCAACCAAATATATTGGAATTTATGCAGTGCTGTACTAGACCTGTTACAGTTAATGACACCAAAAGGGGCAGTTAGCATACACTGACTCCAATTCAATTCTCATTTAGTTTGTTATGAATATCATACCTTGACAAGTATCACAACAATGATCATTAAGAGAAGAATGCCCCCAATGGAACTTCCAATGATTACTGGCAAAATATTCACTACTTTCTCTTTAAGAATAGTAACAGTCATCTAGAAAGAACAGAAAGAAAAAAAAATGATAATTAAAATAAAATTAATTAATTACAATTTTGGTCCAGATAGCTGGCCGCAGAGAGCCTTTAGAACTTGAATGGATATATTTGTTGCCAATATTTTTGCAACCTAGTATGGTATTTTGTCTGTTTGGGATTAAGTTAAGGAGTGCGGTTAGGGTTAGTGCTAAGGGAACTGAATTCAGCTAGAGCAGGAAGCATTAGAACCTCTATTATGTTTACATTGCTGTCATTGTACCTATTATGGAGGTTTCTTCATAGTTCTTGTGATGCTGATTGCTGAAATAGAAGGCCATTACAACATGGACCTCTACAGCAGTAAAAAATAGAGAAGAGTATGGAAGAAGGCTTAGGGCCAATGTCAAGCTGGGTACACATGGTTATATTTTTTTCACTGTTCCTTCAGGCTGAAAGAAACAAATATGACAGATTCCTCCATGCTAAACGGTATTGACAAATCAAAGGTATTCTAATAGCAGCGCTGGATATAGTATGACATGGCTTAATCCCATCAGAATTTTCTGTCATCTGTGTCCCATTGCTGACATTTTCCTTCACTTTCTGTCAATTAGTTTCCAGTAGTGACAGTGGTTACCAGCATAAATAGAGAAAATGAATTTCACCAGCGGGTGTTCTAATATCTGCATATCTGCAGCATATCTGACATGCAGAAAGCATTCACTGCAGGTGAATCCTCCAGGTGCATGTGTATTAAATTACATTGGTTGATTGACCATAAGAGAATGTTTGGCGAAGGTCACATTCACTGCATTATAAATATACCCAATTATGAGGTGGATAGGGGATAAGGTAAGGTGTTAGAGACAAGTCATGTATTTGGAATTGATTAAGGAGATGCTTTTACAGTGCTTTACTCTCACTTGTTTTCACCATCAAAAGCATTGTGTCAAAAACTAGCAGTGCCGGGTTCTAAGTGCAACTAATGCGATGTATATTACCTAACATTATGCAAGTTACCTTTTTAACATAAAAGAGGTTTTGCCTAAACTTAACAGGAAGAAAGGAAAGGAGGAAAAAAGGAAGGAAGGACAGATATGTATTTGTCTCACCTGTTTATGGAGTTCTGGGTCCTTTATATTTACAAATAAGTCTTTGTTATATAGAAGTTCACCTGTAATGTTTAGTTCTTGTGTGTCTTCTACTAACTAAAAAACAAACAATGTATTATATGTCACGGTAACATAACTTGCAAAATTTCAAAAATGTATTGACTTTTAGGCTGGGTTCACACCTAGGCGTATTGAATATGCGTGTTTGTTGCACGATTCGCGGTAAAAAAAACGCTCATGTACCTTTTCAAGCGTAGGCCGTTTTGTAGCGCGTTCAGACGGGCTGAAATACGGAAAGGTGTGAACCATACCCATAGAAAACAATGGGATTTTCAAGTTTGTACGTTTTGTAGAGCGTTCATAGAGCGTTGAACGCACAACAAAATGTAAAGGTGTGAACAGGGCCTTATTGTTTATAGGGTGTGACGGTGCACTTAGGAGCAGCTTCCAGAAAGGCAGGAAGGGCATTTTTGTTAAAGAGGGTTCTGCTCCCATAGTGAGGGCTGGAGTCACCCCCCCCACGTCTGGTGTACCCCCTTTCATTCACCCCCCCCCCTTTTTTCTTCATTCCTACCCATGCATTATTTCTGCCCCCAACTTCCTGTTGGTCTCTCACCTTCCCACTCTTTCTTACAGCAGACATATCCTTCTTATCATACGTCTCACACACCATATTGTCCTCTGTATTGGCCCACTTCTTGCATCAGATTCTGACAACTACCATTGTAAGATTGACTGACACCATGACTATCTGCAGTCAAACTTAGTGACCCACCCTCCCTCTTTAGGCCTAGTTCACACCTGAGCATTTTTACACGCAGATCTATGCATGTGAAAACGCACAAAACACACGTTTCAATGCAAGCCAATGGCAACCGTTCACACCTTAGCGTTGCGTCGTGCATAGAAAAACGCCTGTCACATGAAAAGATGCAGGAGCTGTTTTGAGGTGGATCCAGCATGGCTTTGCATCTCTATGCAGGGAGAAACGTGCGTTAACGCGCATGTTTAAATGCAAAAACAAGCAAAATCGCACAAAACAATTGCGCGATAATCACGTGAAAATTGCAAACACCTAGGTGTGAACCTAGCCCAATTGCTGAGTAGCCCTCTGGCTTTTCACACTGTTCAACGGTATAATGTTGTCACTTTCAGATTTCTTCTGTAAATCAAACTGTATTGTTATATTTTTCTCAACCAAATGGACTCTGTACTGTTGTCACTTATGATAACCATACCTATTGCACACTTTAATGTTTTTTGATGCTACTTCTAATGAATAAAGTACAAAAACTATAAATGAAGTAGGCATACTTATTACAAATAAATAAAGTAGATATCTTGCAAGATGCAAGTATTACAGTAGTACACCGGCCACGTACCACTGGTGTACACTGATGTTGGATGCCCTTCTACACTCCCTGTAGTGTGAACATAGCTCAAATGTTCATAGGCCTTCCTGACCTGTGCATTCCTATCAAGATAATCCCAATATGGACATCACTTTGCCCTGCAGGATATTCTGTGTTCAGAAAGGAGTCTGCCCTCTTAAAAAATGGTTTCGGATAGGTACACATGTAGATACATTTAGTCTGCCAGTTAACTAATCATGCTCCTCTTGTGTCTGGTAGCTAACTTTAGAGCATACTTTCACACGAGCCTGACATATACATAGTCATACACCTGCCATATACCACCTACAGCGAGAAGGGCTTCAACAGTGATACACTTTGCATAATAAAATCCCCTAATGAATGATCTGACTGTCTGAATGATTAATAAATGCTGTCCCTGTATATTTTGTTCTGCCATACAAGTTCTGGATACAAAGGTTGGTTAAATAATTACCTTCTGCAGGGTCTGTAAGAAAAGCTTTGCTTTAACTTTTATCTCCTCCTGCACTGAATAGATGTTGCATTGGATAACCAGACATGTTAGATCTTCTTCTTTCTACCAAAAAGAAAAAGAAAGCATAAGATTCTGCTGCACGTAAAACTATCCACTTCTGAAAATACATTTGTAGAAGGCAGTTATGAAGCCAGTTTATTATCCCCACAGTTGTAAACAGTGGCATTAAAAAAACCCTGAATTCTACAGGTGAAACTCGAATAATTAGAATATCGTGCAAAAGTTCATTTATTTCACTAATGCAACTTAAAAGGTGAAAGTAATATATGAGATAGACTCATTACATGCAAAGCAAGATAGTTCAAGCTGTGATTTGTCATAATTGTGATGATTATGGCTTACAACTCATGAAAACCCCAAGAACCCCAAATCCACAACCTCAGAAAATTAGAATATTGTGAAAAGGTGCAATATTCTAGGCTCAAAGTGTCCCACTCTAATCAGCTAATTAAGCCATAACACCTGCAAAGGGTTCCTGAGCCTTTAAATGGTCTCTCAGTCTGGTTCAGTAGGAATCACAATCATGGGAAAGACTGCTGACCTGACAGTTGTGCAGAAAACCATCATTGACACCCTCCATAAGGAGGGAAAGCCTCAAAAGGTAATTGCAAAAGAAGTTGGATGTTCCCAAAGTGCTGTATCAAAGCACATTAATAGAAAGTTATGTGGAAGGGAAAAGTGTGGAAGAAAAAGGTGCACAAGCAGCAGGGATGACCGCAGCCTGGAGAGGATTGTCAGGAAAAGGCCATTCAAAAGTGTTGGGGACTTTCACAAGGAGTGGACTGAGGCTGGAGTCAGTGCATCAAGAGCCACCACACACAGACGGATCCTGGACATGGGCTTCAAATGTCGTATTCCTCTTGTCAAGCCACTCCTGAACAACAAACAACGTCAGAAGCGTCTTACCTGGGCTAAAGAAAAACAGACCTGGTCTGTTGCTCAGTGGTCCAAAGTCCTCTTTTCTGATGAGAGCAAATTTTGCATCTCATTTGGAAACCAAGGACCCAGAGTATGGAGGAAGAATGGAGAGGCACACACTGCAAGATGCTTGAAGTCCAGTGTGAAGTTTCCACAGTCTGTGTTGATTTGGGGAGCCATGTCATCTGCTGGTGTTGGTCCACTGTGCTTCATTAAGTCCAGGGTCAACGCAGCCGTCTACCAGGAGATTTTGGAGCACTTCATGCTTCCTTCCACAGACGAGCTCTATGGGGATACTGACTTTATTTTACAGCAGGATTTGGCACCTGCCCACACTGCCAAAAGCACCAAAACCTGGTTCAATGACCGTGGGGTTACTGTACTTGATTGGCCAGCAAACTCGCCTGACCTGAACCCCATAGAGAATCTATGGGGCATTGCCAAGAGAAAGATGAGAGACATTAACCGAACAATGCAGAAAAGCTGAAGGCCGCTATTGAAGCATCCTGGTGTTACATAAAACCTCAGCAGTGCCACAGGCTGATAGCTTCCATGCCACGCCGCATTGAGGCAATAATTGCTGCAAAAGGGGCACAAACCAAGTACTGAGTACATATGCATGCTTATACTTTTCAGAGGTCCGATATTGTTCTATGTACAATCCTTGTTTTATTGATTGTATGTAATAGTCTAATTTTCTGAGATTGTGGATTTGGGGTTTTCATGAGCTGTAAGCCATAATCATCACAATTATGACAAATCACGGTTTGAACTATCTTGCTTTGCATGTAATGAGTCTATCTCATATATTAGTTTCACCTTTTAAGTTGCATTAGTGAAATAAATGAACTTTTGCACGATATTCTAATTATTCGAGTTTCACCTGTATGTACATCTCCTGGTCTTGGTTTATTTGGTGATATATGATCATTCCATAATTACTGTAGAATTTCCAGAAAACCTATATGGAGAAAATACATAGGATGACTGCTGATCCTCTTTTTCTGAAAATGCTATTTGTAAGGCTGTTCTGCTGATCCAATGGCTTTTACGAGCCATTATACTTTCTGAAACACTAACCTTGAACATGTATGCTCTTCTGACCTCACTCTAACTTTGTAATCTGTGTGCTTGTTTCAGGTCAGTTGCATAGTAGTCCCATCACACTCCTGACTGATGTGAACCTGTGATCCTCGGGTGGGTGCTGCAGTGACTGCGGATGGTGCCACACGTAATCAATAAAAGGAGAAAAAGTCACCAGCACTCTAATGTTTGCTCTACCAATTCATATTTATTGATGTTGGAAGGTCATATCAACACAATGAAAAGCAACGTTTCGGAACTGAATAGGTTCCTTCATCAGGCAAAGAAAGTGATTGGTAGAGCGAACATTGGAGTGCCAGTGTATTCTTCTCCTATTTTTGTTCCAGGCCAGACTCAATTCTAAAGCAGAGAAAGCCATTCTCATGGTGTTGAGTAATGGCAGCCCTTGTTTGCTTTCAGTACAAGTTTCCCTTAATTACTTAATTAGTAATACAGTTTAAGTCAAAATCAAGTTTATGAAAGACTCACATATTTTCTGGATGCATTTCTACAACGGCATTTCTGGTTTTCAAGTTTACACAGTGTTGAATTCTATGGAGATAAAATGTATTTCATAAAAAAAAATCAATCATAAGGAAATCTAAATAAAGCTGTAGGAGGTATTTGGTCATTTTTATTTATAGCCTTTGAAGGTTAAAAACTGATCTTTTATATCTTTTTTTATTACCTTTATAAAATCTGTATTTAAAAAATGCATATACTGTGTGCATCCATAATATAGAGTTTAAGGTATATGCCAAAACTTTTTATTAATTTTTGGATAAAGTATGGAAGTAATAAAAGCAATGCAAGGTCTTTGTACCATTGGGGAAATTTCCCTTTGCTTACTTTCCGAGAGATGCACCAGAAAGTTAGAGGAAATCTCCCAAAGTGAGGGGAATTGTCCTCTTAGATAGTTGTCTTTGGAACAGGTATCAAGTTATCAAGTCTTGTTTTAGGGACAACTCTAAGAGGGTTATTCACAAAATAGCTGAAGGATCCAGCCGTAGCTCCAACTGATCCTTCGACTCACTGGAGCCCTTCAGTTCAGTGGATTGGGTCGGCGGGCGTCGTCTTCTTTCTTAATTCGTCAAGTCGTCGTCATTGTGGACAACGCTGGACATCGAGATTGACCCTGGATCAGTGGCGTAACAACCGTATGCTTGGACTTGTAGTTCCTTAGCTGATATATATGTGTGGGGGTGGGGGGTACAGTACTAGTGGATGTTTATATAGTATGGGGCGGGGGGGCGAAAAAAAATGTCTGCCCCGGGCGCCCATAACTCTGGTTACGCCACTGCCCTGGATTATGTTGGGGGATCCATTTTTGCAATTTTTTTAAAATAAAGGACTTGTGAAAAACCTGTTTTTTTTTTTAAATTAAAGGATTTGTCAAAAGTCTGGCCTTTTAAATTTTTTTAATTTAACCCTTTAGTGAATGGGTAGGGGTACAAGTACCCTTTACTCATTCAAAAGGGGGGGCACATCTGGGTGCCCCTTTATTAAAGGGGTACCCTGATGTTAATAAGCCCCCCACCCTGTCCACACCCCCACAACCAACACCCCAGGGCTTGTGGGGAAGACGCACAGGGAGAAGGTGCTTTTCCAAGGGCGACCCTGGGAAAGCACCCTACCAGTGATGAGGGCATGTGGCCTGTTGCATCTTATCACACATAAAGAGTGCCTATGAACAACTGATTGTTTTAATTGTATTTAACTGTGTTCAGATTAACAGGAAAATACAATGGGGGAATTTAGTAAGACTGGAGCAGACAGTATCTGGAGCTGATGCCCATAGTAATCAGCTTCTCTCTTCAGTTTGTTCAGTTAAGCTTTGAAAATAAAAGATAGAAGCTGATAGGTTGCCATTGGCAACCGCTACAAAGTCTGTCTGCTCCAGTCTGTGAAAGAAAGTGTATATATAAAAATCTTTCTTTTTATATTTAGCCATCTTGTTTATTGGTGCCTGGATCGCACTGGCATCCCGGCCGGCTCACTGCACTCTGGGTGGGAGGAGGCATTTAAGTCAATGACACCGCAGCCATGCCCCCCAGCCGCAGTGCGAACGCCCACACTGGAACACGTGGCACATCAATGCCTGTGTTCCGGTCTGGTGTGGTCACAAAAAATGCTGTATGCACTATTCATGGCTCCAGGCTTCAGCAAGAACTAACTGGCCTTTTCTGAAGGTCATTTTGTAGACAAGGCTTAGGAGCATTCGCAGTCAGAATTATAATAATTACAAAGCACATAAAGCAGTGTGCTAGGTAATAAACTCCTTGCATGATCATGCTAACAAAGGGCAATACTTTATACAACAAATAGCCTGTTGAAGACAAGTCTAAGTCATGGCTCACACTGAGCCTTTTGTAGCGCTTTTTCTGCCCTAAAAAAACATTCAAAAAATATGCCCCGAAAAATCCCATTCATTTCTATGGCCCTGTTCACATCTGAATTTATCTATTTTTATCACAATAAGTAAAACGCCTGTGACTGGAAAATGTACATGAGCTTATTTATTACAGCTCGTTGTGGACCCATAGACTCAATAGGAAACACTTGATAATGCACGTTTGCTGTGTTTTACCGCACGTTTAGCGCACATTTTACAACTTGATGTGTGCGCATAAAGTTGCATCAAAAATGCGTGTAGAAACGTGCACAAACGCTGATGCCTAGGTGTGTACCCGGCCTTAGTAAATTCTCCTCAATATATTCTGATTCTAATTATGTGCAGAATCGACACAGGGTAGACAGCAAGATACATCTGCACAAAGCTAACACCCCAGGATAAAGATAGTTATTACTTATTTTTTCCAACTGAATCCAATATTCCAATTACAGTTACATGTTTATAATAAAGATCCTTATCCTTACATGAAAACTTTGTGAATTGAGCCCATTTTCATGCACTCACCTGGATTTTCTCAGGCTGACTTATTGCAGAAATAGTTTTACTTTTCATCGTAATGGGGATCTGTATCTCTAGGCTCAGTTCAGCGTCATACTGATTCTCTCCGTTTATCTGTGGAACATTATATGTTATATGTACAAGTAGCATGCCGCAGTGCACAGTAAATGCCAACAAACACATTCAATGTTATTTCATTCGTACACACAGTAGATCTGAAGATACTTACATTAAACGTGAACTCGATCTCTTCTTCTATCGGTGACTCAGGAGGGATCTTCACATAAAGTGCATTGGGTTGCCTGATTTAGAAGTACATAGCATTAAATCATGTACAGATATTGCTGAAATCCACACTACATAAACATTGTCTAAATACAAGAGCCAGATGTACAGTATTTTTATTTGAATCTTGGTGTATTTTTACAGATCGGTGAAACCTAATACAACCCTTATGCAGGAGCTTCCTGTAATAAAGACCAGTCACTGCTGCTCTCTCTTTGTGCAGGGTGACTGGTCTTGTATCCACCCCTTCTGTAGTTTTCTGCAGGCAGTCTGTAGTGGGTGGCGCTGATGGGCCCCTCCCATAGCTCTGCTCCCTGCATAATACAGTGATGATGTCATCATTATCTGGGACACACAAAGTGGATTTATAACCTTTAGGCCCCATTCACACCAGGGTGGTTCCAGATTAGTGCGGTTTCCGCGCTGATTTCAAAAGGGCGGTTTTGGGAGTTTTTAATTGCGTTTCAGCGCTGAAACACAATTAAAAATGCCCAAAACTGCGCTTAACAGCGTGGTTCAATTCAAATTCAACATTTTATTCTGTTTTAATTAGAGCGGGTAAGGATTATAAGCTTTGTCAGGTTTTTATTGCTGTCTCTGTCCATATTGGAGAAATGACCCCTTACTTCCTGTCAGGACACACAATGGGGTAACAAACAAGAACAATAATACATGTTTGGTACACCAGACCAGGCAGAAATTTTTACTCTTTCTCATTTTATTTGAAGCTAAAAAAGGGGAAAAACTTTACCAGGAATCTAGCTGGCCGTACACTGGTAGATTTCTGAATAACCTTCATACAAAACATCTCATCAGAACATTTTCCATCAGAGATTTGACAAATGTCCCTCCAAATTCTGCTTGATTTTAAAATTTAAAATCCAGTTTTGGAATGAATGGAGTTTCCCGAATGAAACTCTTTACTGTTGAAATGAAACATTTACTGTTAGGAAATTGAAAAAAGTTTTTCCATCCTGCTCCATTGATTTTTTTTGTCACTACAGTTAAAATGAATGATTGATTTTACCTCATAAACTATTAGCAAATTGAACGTTTCCACAAAGAATTTTTTCAAATAATATTTTACAGGTGTATTATTATTATTATTATACAGGATGTATATAGCGCCAACAGTTTGCGCAGCACTTTACAATATAAGGAAGATATTACAATTACAATACAATTCAAGACAAGATGGTAAGGAGGGCCCTGCCCCTGAGGGCTTACAATCTAAAAGTGTACAGCCAGCTATTTTATATCTCACTAGCTGTTTCTTGCAGCGCAGCCCAATGCAAGACAAGGCACTTTACCTTGTCATGGACGGGCACAGTTCACACCACCCAGTTGCGATGGAACACAGTGGTGTGTGCTAAAAAAAGTATTGAAGTATAACCGCCTCGCAGCACACTGTGCCCAAGGACAGTGTCAGCACCAATTCAGAGATGATTTGAGGATCTGCAGCTTAGTGATACACAAATAAGGTAAATGTTTGCTACTACTTAAGATACATGAATGAATTTTTAAGATTTAACTCCTGAGTTTAGTGTCACTTTAATAAAATGTCACTTAGGACATTTATAAACAAATGTTCTATTAAAATAGATTGGCGCCTCATCACTGACCCGGGCACCACACACCAGTCAATGTGTGAGGTAGCACAGCGGCTGGTGTGAATGGGCCCTAAATGTCTGCCTTTGGAGAGCAAAATAACATACTAATCAGATTCTATTAGCCTTACTGCACTGATCTTTACCTATTTCTGCATCCATTTTCACACCAAGTAAGACATTTTCCTCAGTAAAAACAAACTAGTACAAGCAATAGTAAATACAGTGCACAGTTAAATTTTCAGCCCATGTTTCATGGTATACCCATATTCAGGATATAACATTAAACATGGTCAGATCTTTAAATTGGTGGGTTCCTCTTTAACCTGATCCTAACACTTAACCTTAATACTGATCTGTGTCTCTGTAGAGGAAAGGCAGTTCTTGTAATGACCCTGCCCTGTATGCTGGTAATCGATGAAGAAAGCCATTAGAAAAAGAAATGATGGGACTTACACAGTTAGAACCATGTATAAGGAGTGTTTCACTGGGAGTGCCGTCTTCTGAATCAGTGGAGCAGAGACACCGTTCATGCTAAAATTCATCAAATCACACTGCATTAGGGAATCATTCTGACTGTAAATGAACTATGCAAGGTTATAAACATTCAGTGGCATGACCAAACACAGTGCTACACATAAGCAAAGGGGCGGGGTGCAGTGACATTATTGACCTTATAAAGCCGCTTGGCTATATTTGTTCAATGACATCAGCATAAGCATCCTGCCCCTCTGTTTATGTGCAGCTGCAGGGAATGCCCTAGCCACAGCTGAATAGGTGGGTGGCCCACAGCACTTTATGTTCATAGAAGCTCAGGTGTAAACTAGGTTTGGTCCTAACCTGAGCATATCTCTAGTACCTGGCTTCAGTACTTTTGGAGTCACTGACCTTCAATAAGCATGCAAATTAGAAAGACATAGCCAGCAGAAGATTAGATGGTTCAGGTCTACTTACTTGCTAACTATAGAATAAATGATTGCTTCAGCTGCTGAAAACCTTTCTTCACTCAGTTGCCAGATGATGTCAAATTTCTCCTATAAAATGTGTGAAAAATGACAAAAATATATTTTAGGAAGTAATCTAAAGTAAAGCTTTAGTAAGTTTAATAGAGCAAAGTGACAATATATAACAGCCAACAACTACGTTGTATAACCAATGCTGCCCAGACCTGAGATCTGCCAGTCCAGAAGAGAACCAGGCAGGCTTCAACCTTGATTTTGATGCATGGATGTCTCCCTCATTTCAGCAATTTACAGAAAGTATCATCATTGTTGGGTTTTTTAGTCCTGAATACAACTTTATGCTTAAAAATATGCTCTATTCTGTGACGCATTTATGTAGTTGAGAAGCATTAAACTCCATGAGTACATGCTATGGAATCCTAGTTCCAATTATTTAATTGACTGCTGAGATTTTAGCTGTTTTATGCATTTCCATATCTCCTAAATTCCCCAAAGTTAGTTTGAAAGTTGGCCTTTTACCTAATATGTTTATTTTTGGGGCAATATTTGGGTAGAATGTGTGGAGGGTTCGAATGGCCCTTTTATTAATATAATTGGAGGTTCCATGATTCCAATTCATCTATACATGCACTACTACAACACATGGAGATACAAATATAAAAAGAAAAAGCCAAGCAGTATATCTATGCAGCTTTGCTAAATTGATGACTGACTTACGTTGCCAGATTTAAAGACAGGATGTTGAATTTGGCAGTTCAGTGTAGAGTTATATAAATTGGGAATTTTCTGTTCATAGCATTTAACACTGAAATTATTAGCCTGAGAAAATAAATAAAAACAAAATAAGTACAGTATACCATTTTTAAGAATTGAATTTCATGTCAAGCATTCCCCAGTTTAGCCACAAGGCCACTGGGGCCCGGCCTCGGGGCGGCAGCGGTGTGGAATCCCCCGACGGACGGTAAATTGTTTTCTACATTTAGCCCTGCTTTGGGAAAGCAGGGCTAAATGTAGTGGGAGGAAGCCTCCCACTACTTGTTTGTTTACAAGTGATCTTGGAGATGTCGCCGAAATCACTTGTAATAACACTGCAGCTGGTCCATCCTCCCCCCGCACCTACCTTTCTCCTCGCTAGCTCCGTCCTCCCGGCTCTGTCCTCCCCCCGCCGCCGAGTCTCTCTCCTCACTAGCCGTCAATGCGGGGAGCAGAGCGCAGGATAAAACTAACCCTGCTGCTCCATGTAAACAGTGAGAGGGAAGAGCAGTCTTCCCCTGTCAGCTGTCACAGGAGTTCCAGCACAGTGTTGTGCTAGAACTCCTCTCCTGGAGGTGACAGGGTCAATAAAGAGAACCTGTCACCTCCAAATGCTATCACATGGGGGCTCGTTAGCTCCTGTGTGATAGCTATAAAGTTAAGTGGAAAAAAAACTGATAAAAAATAATTAAATAAATCAAAAAGTAAAAAATAATAAGAAATAATAGTTAAATTAAAAAAAATTAAAAAGTAAAAAATAATAATGTGAGAACATTCATCAGGCAGGTTAGTATGATGATACTGACAATCATGATTTCATACTAAGGGCCATATTTTGAGTTCACCTGTCCTAGGCACAAGGGATTCCTATTAAGGGGTATGTGAAAGATATCTGAAACCATACTGCTGGATATTTTGTTTCTAATCTTCTATCCTTTAGGGCTTGTTATAGAGAGTCCATGGTGGGCTCTGCAGGGTCACTCTCCGCTGGGGCTCTGCAAGTGGCATGACTAGCAATCACGGGGCTTTGATTTCTAGTTACTCCCTGTCTGAACCATAAATGCATACAAAGTAATTTCAATGATAAAAACGAGGCTAGTTCACACCATTGCATTGAGTTCCAGAGCTTTTAAAAAAGCAAAAATCCCGTCACCATAGTCACTGAGGACAGTTTCTCAGCTTCTAAAAATTGCTGTGGTTGTAATTGATGTGGAAGTATCTGATTAACTTTTTGTCATATGAATTTACAACACAAAAAATTTACTTCATTTGCTTTTCATCATGCAATCGTATTTGGCACTAATACTTATAGAGTATATGATATTTTTGTGTGCCTTTAGCATCTGTAAAATGAACTAATTGCATGTGAAAAAGTAATATGCTTACTCTTAAGCTCAACCTAACTGCACTCCCTGAAGCTGTCTTCACAACACATGGCAATGCATGATCCACAAATCCTCAATTTCTTTAACACAGTAAATCATCCCCTAGAGTCCAAAACAGATGTTATTTGAAAACTCTATATAGGTAATTAACAAGAACAAGAAACATGTTTTCATTGTATTTACCAGTTTAATTGTATTAAATTGCAGATTCTTGGGATATATTAATGTTACGGTTGTCATGTATGAATCATCCCCAGTATTGTTCAGTTGAAGTGTCATTGTTAAGTCTTTGGTGTATCCAACAATGAGTTCCTGGCTAAATAAAAAAGCACATGAAATATAGTGAATAATTAAAAAAAAAAAAAACACTAAATGTGGTGATTGATGTATTAACATGGAACTCCTTAAAGGGTTGATTCATCCAAAATGAATACTTTACTGCTGGATACATTGTGACAGGTAGTGTAACTCACTGGCTTCTTATATCTCCCTGGGAGTCATGAGGAGAGATCTCTTCACCTGAGCCACCATATCCACCCACCTTTTGCTGCCATAACAATAGTTTTTACCCTCCATTTGGGATTTTTTAAAATTGATCTTAGATTGGAGTTGGGCACTCAGACTTTTCTTGATGCAAAGGATAGGGCTGTAGCTACCTATAAACAAAACATTCATTTTGAGTAAGCCAAACCTTTATTTTGAGAAAATGTTTACTCTTACCGAGACATCGTTGTGGTCAGATGTAAAACTGGAGTGCATACTGACTTGTTATTGCAGTCCTTTTCATAAGGTAGCTACACAGGGAAAAACAGTTTGCTGTCATAATAGAACCCATAAAGTCGCAGTGGTTAAATATATGAATCATGACAACGTTGTAGAGAGTTACGTTTACTACTTTGTTAAAGCATTTTCGCCAATGGAAAGATAGTAGGAAGAGATGGTTGTTTAGGCTTTAAAAATTGCTAATTTACAGGTGCTCCCATTGAAGTCTATTGGTCTGAAAATGCCCCACTCTTATTCAAAGGCTGCTCCAGTAAATGTTTGAGCATTAGACATCGAACTGAGTGCTCATATAAAACAGGCACAATTTAAAAGCATGGAATGTTGGTTGTTGAGTGCTTTGGAGCTTTAAGCATCAAGTTACAAAATGTTTAGGTGTGAATCAGGGTTTGGGGCCATTTCACACTTGCAACTCGCCAACAACAGAATCGCTTTACAGGGCAGAGGAATACTCATCTGCTTCCAAGCCTTGCTAATCCAGCAAGCACCATGAAAGCAGGTGAGTAAGTATTTTCTGTGCACTTAACAATTCTGCCAATGGTCAGTTGTTGCCAGCATCAAGACTGCAAGAGAGGCATGGCCCTAAGTCACACAAAGAGCACACAAACACACATGCAAATCGATTTATTTATTTGCAAATTTATGAAAAGTTAGTATATTAAAGCCCAACTCCAGCCAAATGTATTTTTTTTATGTAGCTCTAGATAGAGTGGAGCAGGGTTAGAAGCCTCTGTTAATAATCTGTCTGTTTGATTCAGTTGTGAATAGGCTATTTCTGTTTTTTAACATTAAGACGAAAAAAGATCACAGTAAAGAATGGAATAAAATAATAATTAGGTGCATTGAAACATGTCATGATAAAAAGTTTGGTATGTGTCTAAAGGTCTCCCAGTTGGAACCACACTCCTCTCTGTATTTGATTTCCATTTCCCAGCAAAGCTTCTAGAGAAATACATTGTACATGTAAGTGACAGCAGAATTATACCTCAATGAATGTGTAATTTGTGTTATAGAAGTCCAGTACAGGTGATGGGAGATCTCGGTTTTGTTCAGTGGCTGTCATGGAATAGGAGACCTTAATCCCAATACTGGTGAAACAGTTATAGCTACAATGCTGTAAAAAAAAAAAGGAATTAAAAATAGCATGATATACAATGTAATCACAGAGTATTTAAGGCTATCTTAATATTGACAAATCTGATTAGAAGGTTTATTATATTCCGCAGCTGAATCTAAGACTCTTTTTTTGAGCTTACACCTCATTAGAATAACATTTTCTGTTCTCCTCCTATTAAATGCTAGGTGCCCAGCAGCTGTGTGTGACTTGAAAGCCAGAATTTATTTTTTTGTTCTGGGTGTTGGTAATGTGTTTAGATGAAGCACTGAGATCTTGAGCAATGCTGAATTAGGTTTTACTTGCTTAGAAGAACAATATGTCAGAATACAGCATTATACAGCATACAGAGAGAGCTTCCTGTGTATCATAGACAAACATGCACATAGAAAACTAACATTGCACTACAGTTCCATCTGCAGCTCAAACATATCAATATATGCTGTTGCATTTCCAACACTAGGGGGTCTATTCACGAAGCTGCCGAAGGATCTAGCCATAGCTTCGGCCGATCCTTTGGCTAGCTTCGGCCCCAGGACCCCTTCGGTTCAGTAGAACCGAAGGGGTGCTGTACGGGCTATTCACAATAGCCCATACAGCTCCCGAACGTGGCCGAGTGGCTCCGTGTCAGAATAAATAAAAAAAAGAAAAAGCAGTGTTTCTCTCCTGGGCGGCCAGGCCGGGAGGCTCCCAGAGCGCCCGGGAGAGTTTTTATTTTTGACGGCAGCATAGCCGCCTGACAATAGGAAACTATTGGGCGGAGCTAGCTGTCACTGCTAGCTCCGCACAATCGTTTTCTATTTACTTTTTTTTACACTTTTTAAACTATTTTTCTTTTCTGCTCGGCCCCTCAGCAGCATTCGGCTATTCACTCACTGCTGTTCGGCATCTATAAGAATAGGCCGAACAGCAGTGAGTAGCCTGACGGAGGTTCGGCTCAGCCGATCCAGATGTTGGATCGGCTGAGTCGAACTCCTTCTGCACTTCGGGTCGGCCGAACATGTTGAGCATGTTCGGCCGACCCGAAGCCATGTGAAGCAAGCCGATGTACGGCTGATTTCAGCCGATGTACGGCTGAAATCAGCCGTACCAGCCTGAAGTGAATAGCCGAACAGTGTTCGGCTCACTTCACTTGGGGTCGGTTGTTCACTCGGCTGCCCTCGGCAGCTTAGTGAATAGACCCATAGGTCTTTGACACTGAAAATTCACCAGGCACATTCTAGAACACTTAGCTAAACTGGATGCATGTATGTTTGGAGTTAATTGTAGCACCCCCCTGATCCCTAAGGGCAAGTAAGGGATCCCAGACACATCATGGTCTGGTCCTTGCCAATAGTGGAGCAAAATGAAGAGATGAGAGTCACTGGAAGTCTTCCAGTCACTGGAACATAAGGTTAGGGCACAAGACTCCCATGGACTTGCAGACTCCAGAAACGAGACAACAGTACTTACAGCCTTCACAGAGAGAGAACCTTTACAGTGATATTAAAGCCAAAAGATTTTTAAGCTATTTCAAATGCTGATAAAAAGCTGGTCCCCTGGGCACTGGCCATGATATCCTGTTTTAGGATGGCTCCTTTCCCTTGGGGGTCCTATGGAGCCACCCTTGTGTGTGATAGTAAGCTGTGTGTCTCCACAAACACAGTAGAAGCAGTGCCGGTGTCCCTGCTTCTACTGTTATATGATGGCTGCCATCCGTCGACCACCGCAGCACCCATCTGATTTCTTTTGGAGACAAGCAGTCAGGAGTGCCATGGGTTCATGGCTCTAGTTCGTCTCCCCAAACACAGCAAGGCAAGGCACTCACCTCCCCCCTGCGCCCCTCTCTTCCCTTCTACAAGCTAGTAGATGGACAGTTGCTGGCGACTGTTCTGCTCCTTGTGATCTTGTACTGGACAAAAAGTTCAGGAAAGCCATACTGAGAGTTTGAGAGTTGAACACTACTTTAAGCTGAACCGGTGTTCTCAAAAATCCGTTCCTGGCTGTAAAATACTGGGTGGTTGAACTACCAACACCTTGGGGAGAAATAACCATACTTTAGTCAAGGGCCAAGCTTCTTCCCATCCCCTCGGGTACTTTATTCAAGTTGAAGTTCCTCCATGGTATCTCAATCCCTTGGCTCAGCATACTAGGCCTCGAACTTAAGCTTCAGTCCAAGCACATGGTCACCCTCCTCAGGCAGCAGGCCTAGGAGGATCAGTCATACAACTACATCCCTTCCCCAGACAGTCGCCTGGGAGGAGACTGACTTCCCAAGATCACTCTTAAATATTTATAACCTCTCATAGCCCGCACCACTGGTAATACACCTCCTAGTTGTTGGCCAGGGAAGCATAAATATTTATAACTCTGATTATTGCTTAGGGGCGTTTCAAGAAAGCCAAAATATCAATCAGACTCAGGCTGACAACTTCTACATTTAAATAGACACTCTTGCTTAGGACTGGGTGGCTACAAAATGCACACCCTTCTTAATCCTTAGCCAGTAATGCACACTGGGCATGCTAAGCACAGTGAAGAAACTTAATCAAAATACTTTGAGCATGTGCGGTATACCTATTACCGTATATACTCGAGTATAAGCCGTCCCGAATATAAGCCGAGGTACCTAATTTTAGCCAAAAAAACTGGGAAAAAGTATTGACCCGAATATAAGCCGAGGTACCTAATTTTAGCCAAAAAAACTGGGAAAAAGTATTGACCCGAATATAAGCCGAGGGTGGGAAATGAGGCAGCTACTGGTAGATAGATACCATTAAAATACATTAATATTTATTTAAAAGAAAAATAACCTAGCTCTGTAAGTGGAAAAGGGGGTACAGGGCTACATATCATGTACTACGGATCATTTAACCCATTCATATTAGCAGAGGATCATTGTAAATGTATTGTCTGCACTGTATTAGCAGTATATACTCTATATAGAGTATATACTGCTAATACAGTGCAGACAATACATTTACAATGATCCTCTGCTAATATGAATGGGTTAAATGATCCATAGTACATGATATGTAGCCCTGTACCCCCTTTTCCACTTACAGAGCTAGGTTATTTTTCTTTTAAATAAATATTAATGTATTTTAATGGTATCTATCTACCAGTAGCTGCCTCATTTCCCACCCTCGGCTTATATTCGGGACGGCTTATACTCGAGTCAGCGCCAGCGCGTCTTCTTACTTACCTCGCCGAGCGTCGCTGCTGCTGCGGTGTGCGGCGCTCCGAGCGGGGTCATCTGGCAGTCTCCGGGTCCTAATTTAGGTGGCCGGAGACTGCCAGATGACCCCGCTCGGAGCGCCGCACACCGAGCAGCAGTGACGCGACGCTCGGCGAGGTAAGTAAGAAGACGCGCTGGCGCTGACTCGAGTATAAGCCGTCCCGAATATAAGCCGAGGGTGGGAAATGAGGCAGCTACTGGTAGATAGATACCATTAAAATACATTAATATTTATTTAAAAGAAAAATAACCTAGCTCTGTAAGTGGAAAAGGGGGTACAGGGCTACATATCATGTACTACGGATCATTTAACCCATTCATATTAGCAGAGGATCATTGTAAATGTATTGTCTGCACTGTATTAGCAGTATATACTCTATATAGAGTATATACTGCTAATACAGTGCAGACAATACATTTACAATGATCCTCTGCTAATATGAATGGGTTAAATGATCCATAGTACATGATATGTAGCCCTGTACCCCCTTTTCCACTTACAGAGCTAGGTTATTTTTCTTTTAAATAAATATTAATGTATTTTAATGGTATCTATCTACCAGTAGCTGCCTCATTTCCCACCCTCGGCTTATATTCGGGACGGCTTATACTCGAGTCAGCGCCAGCGCGTCTTCTTACTTACCTCGCCGAGCGTCGCTGCTGCTGCGGTGTGCGGCGCTCCGAGCGGGGTCATCTGGCAGTCTCCGGGTCCTAATTTAGGTGGCCGGAGACTGCCAGATGACCCCGCTCGGAGCGCCGCACACCGAGCAGCAGTGACGCGACGCTCGGCGAGGTAAGTAAGAAGACGCGCTGGCGCTGACTCGAGTATAAGCCGAGGGGGGCACTTTTCACCCAAAAAAATGGGCTGAAAATCTCGGCTTATACTCGAGTATATACGGTACTTTATTATATGAAGTAATTAAAAAGTTATTTCTGAATCAATAGCTATACATACAACCTTTTTTGCCATAGTTTTCTTTAGGGTCACAGGAAAACATTTACAATGTCTTCCTGTGACCCAAAACTCAGCACATAGCGGGTAATATGCTGATAGTGCAGAGCCGCGCTGTGGCCAAGATCCTGACAATATTGTCGGGATCCACCCCACCACCTGACTGAGAGAGAGGCAGAGCCAGCTGTACCTGGCCCATCCATCCCTCCAGTCAGTGCTGGAGGAGCAGAGAGGGGAGAGAAGGAATCCCTACGGGGAGTGATGACTAACAGTCACCGCTCTCTACAGGGAGAAGATTGTGAACGAAGCGATCTGAGGTATGGGATCGCTCAGTTCTTGATCTATAGAGCAGACTTGTGACATCTTCAGTGTCACACGTTGGCTCTAATTATGGGGAAGAGTGTATTTCACTCTCCCTATTATCCTCCTTTAAAAATGAATCTGGTTCATATGGGGTACAAAGGTTTGAGTGTTGAACTGGTTAAAGACTTTGTAAATCTTAACAAGCTTCTCGTAACAAAAAGCACCACACACCATTGACCTCACCATAGAAAAACCTAACTGCAGTCCAGCAGCCTATGTGATGCTGTCTCTTTTTCTGGACAGCCCACCTCCACAACTAAGTCCAAGAGAGTCAAGCATAAGTGAGGTGGGCAGTCAGGAGGCGGGGAAGGTAATCATACAATTGAAAACATTTTAATTTTGTTCAATAAGTACAGAATTCCTTTTGGTCTTGCCTGAAAAGTTTGTGGATTAATCCCTCTGTGTGCTCTCTGCCTGTGCTGCAGTCTGCATCAGTTACATTGTTAACAGCAATATTTGAGGTTTACAGAACCCCTCCCTATGGAGAAGAGGAGAGGGAGAGGTGTTCTGTAGCCTTGTCCTAGGGTGACAACGCAGCTCCTCCATAGCTATCCCACAGCAAATGAGTTTTGTAACTCTCGGACAGGAAATGTGTTACTGGCATGATCACCAGGTAAAAATAAAGGATAGACAGCCTAAAAAGTTAACGTAGTGCAGCCACCACATCTAAGAACCGGTAGGCTGCAATATATTACATTTTTTAAATGAAAACAGCAGATTATGACTTAGAAAAAACTGTTTTACAATTCATTCAAAGTCATTTTTGGCTGACAAGTTCTGCAATAACATTAGTGTTTACTGAATATTGATAGATAGATAGATAGATAGATAGATAGATAGATAGATAGATAGATAGATAGATAGATAGATAGATAGATAGATAGATAGATAATAAAATTGTGACAATTTACCAATACAGTCAAGTTAATAGGCTTTGTACATCTGTCACTCAAAAGGTAGAGTTTTCCTCTGCTGGAACTTTCAGTATTGAAGGCAATTCTTTTTTCTTCAATGAAGACATCAAGCTCCAGTTCATAATAAAGATAGGTTTTTTTAAATTCTGTAAATTGAGCCAATGGATTTTACATCAGCCATACTGTATTTGAACATAAAAATCTCCTAACGCTTTATTATTGTCTAGAGTGGGTATTCTGAAATTCTGCATTTTCTCTACTTTTTTTAGTACTAAAGAAAAAAAAAACTAGAGCCTGATTCAGTAAAATCAATTACTAATGAGTTTATTCATAAGGTTTCTGCCCAGCATATAGCTGGGTGGATACCTTTAACACAGCATGCACACCCCTAGATGGCGCTGATGAGTATAGGAATTCCAATACTCCGCAGCGTTATCTAGGGACGCTAGTGCTGTATGAATGGCATTAAATGCCCTTACTGTTAGGGAACACTCGAAAAATTTCACAATCACACAATGTTACCACCAATATGATGCTTGTTTCCATTTATATTTTGTATATGCACATTTGTATGAGCAAACACCTGCAAGCATGGCAGTCTAGTTATGTTTCTACCTGTTTGTTAAGGGTAAGGCTGGAGGTTTTCTTGTGAGATGTTTAAATTGTGCTCCTAGCATGCTTCTTGTTTTGCTCCCAGATGTCAAGCACAAAAAAACATTATAACAGATAACACACATTTATTTTAAATATGTCAACAGATCTGTTGCAGTACAAAGTTTTATCTGGAGTGAATGTTTAGATTAAAGTCTAATAGAGGAGGGTTATGGTAAAATATGGTTTGCTACTAGGGGGAGGAAGAGGAGTACAACCCTCCTGCAACCCATCTTATAAATAAGTAAGCAACTCATTCAATGTGAAGACAGAACAGAACATTACCTAATTTCTCGAAAGGTGTAATGTCAAAGCACAGAGAGGCAATTACAATTTTATCTGCATAGGAAAGAGGGATCTTTTCAGGCTGGAACTGCAGCGTGGCCTTTGCTTTTACTACCGGTCGAGATCTGTACAAGGAAAAAAACATGCTTTTATAAATTGAATGTTAACATTTCTCATACCAAACAACATGATATTTTACAAGGCTCAGATGATTTTACATGCCAACCCAGCAATTCAGTAAAAAATATTAAAAATCTAAGTTGGAAAAAGCAGATTTGCAAAATTTGGAGTTCTTAAGATTATGATTCATTCACTATTACTATATTAAAATACAGACTCAGTATTACTAGGCTGAATATCAGCTGGTATATTTGCTGGATGCAAACACAGCAGATAAGAATTTGTCAAAAACCTGTGCATTTTACTAACTCATAACACTAACTCATAACACTTCACATAAAAACTTCATAATAAATATACTACATTTGGCAAATTTATATTGAAGAAGCCTGCATGTTTTCAATTGGTAACACAAAAAAAATATAAGAGCTAAAATCAGCAAATAAAAACAACAGATTTTTTTTAAAATAGAAAATGTTAGCTACCGGTGCTGGAAAGCATTGAGTTTGTTCAGTATTTGCACAGCAGTAAAATAACTTTTCCTGTCAGCTCCATGGCAGCACACGAATGGGTTAACCCTTTGTGTGCTGCCATGGAGCTAGACAGGAAAGAAAAATTACGGTAAGTATGAAATACAATTTTCCTGTTTTCATCCCAGAGTTAGTTACTATAATTAGCTTTAATAATAACAACAATTTTTAACATGTTTTTACTTACCGAAGTACCATAACGTTTCCTAAGGATCCCACTGCTATGTCTGTATATCCATCTTCAGTAAGATCAAGGCCACCATCTACTGACTGGCCAAAGAATTGCAACTTTTGCCTACAGTCAGTAGCTCTTATTCTCTGTAATGGAGTAGAGATTATTTATTTATGTACATCTTCAGCTTCATTAAAGTTATATTAGCAACCATACAGGTACAGTTAATAGCATAATACCATGGGTGCTAAGTAGTGCTAAGCCAGGTCTACCCTGTCAAGAATCCTGAGATTGCAGACCTACAATTTTTTTTAAAGGTTGGGTTATCTACCGCACGTCACTGGTATAAGGTGAACTGGTAAAGGGGTACTTTGGACCCTTTACCAGTCTATATTTATATTCCTGAATGTAAACCTTCAACCTATGCTTTGAATGAACACGGGTTTCTTGTAGGAAAGCAGGTGGCGTACTGACTTACTGGGTCCTACATTGGTTACATGGCCCATGGGTGCCCTGCATCCTTAGTACATTTATTTGGGTTTTTCTAAGTGCAAACAAGGACTTAGTAAAGTATAAATCAAGGTATCTATATCTTGATAACAATACACTGCCGTGAGGTGTTATTCACTCTATCAGTATAGGACAATCTCTTTTTCTGGCACACTTAGTGACAGTGAGGACTTGCAGTAAACTCCATATTTGAACTACATAAATAGAAAAGTGTATTAACATGATCTTTAAAGTGTAGTAAACCAAGTCAACCAATCAATGCCGAAATCAAATCAGTGAAAGAAGAATTTGGATTGCTGTTTTATAGGGCGCTGCACATTGTTTCATTATACAAGCCTAATTTCCTTCTTGAGGTGGCTGCACAGACCTGGGAAGGAGTGGTATTGATGCTATCTGCATTGCTGTTGTAGATATAAACACTTCCAAATGATTCTGGTTCTTCAAATTTGCCTTCTAGAGGTGCTCCTATAGCAATGTCCTGGTATCCATCTTGGTTGACATCGCCAATCTTAGCTATAGAGTAGCCAAACCTTGCATAAGAATAGTGATGTTGATACAGTGTAAAATGCAAAGAAAATTTACCCTGTTAAGAGATAAAATGCTTATTGAGGAAAGATTTAAACAATCTACAGCTGAGGTGTGCATTTTCATCACTGAAACAAACTTCAACAAGAATTGTATTGTTCCTTCATAAATGGGCAAGGCCAGCCAGACAGCTAATACAAAAGGTAAAATACATATACACTAAGACAGGGGTGCCCATTAGGTAGATTGTGATCTACCAGTATCTCACAAAGCTGATGCTGGTAAATCACGATGGGTGTGAATGGCGGCCCCTTTATTCCATTTTGGTATATTTATTTAGCTGTGCACACATGATTACCTATTAGCCATAGTCTGCTGAGCCAAGCTCCCTGACACCTTTTTTGGTGGATACTGGTGGTTGAAGTGCTATGTATTACATCAAAGAATATACGTTTACACAGCCAGGAGAGCGAGGAGAGACAGCCAGGGGAGAGAGCGAGGGAGGTTTTTTTTTCATCGGTAGATCTCATGTAGCTCGCTATTTGAAAAGTAGATCTTAACACAAAAATTGTGGGCACCCCTGCACTAAGAGGTCTATTTATAAACAGTTTGCAGAGCCATTTACCCTGTGAATCTCTTTTCTGTTTGAATAGAGGCAAAAATTAAAGTTCTTAGTATATTTTCTTTTCAGGTCAAATGTAATGTAATTTAATACCATATTATGGCCACTAGATAGAGCTGAGGAGCATAGGAAATATATATTTTCTATGCTCCTCAGCTCTATCTAGTGGCTGTAATAATGTATTTTCGGAATGTTATATTCAACCTGAGCAGAAAATTCATCCATTTTTGCCTCTATTTGCACAGAACAAACGTACACAGAGATTCGCATATGGATCTGCAAATTGTTTTTAGTAGACCACTAACTGTTTAACCTGCCAAAAGGTTAGTGTGTGTAACCCACTAGAGTCAGCTAAGTCATATGACTCCATTCCTTATGTACCTTAAAGAGCACTTTTCAGAGCTGTCAATTCTGCTCCTATTCCAGCTCCTGCCTACTCTGAACTACTAGTACATGTCACCACATTTCTGTTACCTACCCTGAGTTATCTTCCTCCTTAAAATCTACCTAAGTACCTCTCCCCATCCTGCTTATCTACTATCAGGTTAAAGAGCAAATATTCCCACTACTAGCCTGATTAAGCTTTTAACTCTTACTTTAACTTTTGAACAAGTACACGATCTATAGGTTGTCGTAATATGTTTTCCCAGAATTTTCCTTTAATATGAACAGAACAATGTGTTAGCATGCATTAGGGTTTTACATAATTTGTGCCTGTACCTCATCAGTGAGCCTGTAAACGTAGACTCTTCCTTCTTCTGCTTTGACATGGTAGAATGGTGCCCCCACCAGAAGGAAATTCACAATGCCATCTGACTTCACATCCAGCGCACACAGCTGATGACCAAAGTATGATCCAACCTTATGATGATAAAAGTCAAGTAAAACATGTTGGCTCCACTTCTTTGTGTACATGTACTGCATACTAAATGGATTCTTACTTGCTATCCCCAACTGTGAGGACAGGGCTGGATTTACTCTCCCTGCCGCCCCAAGGCCAGGTTATTTGTTTTATCTTATTATTGTTTCTTTTATAATTATTTTCTTATTTTTTAATAATTTGTTTATTTTTTTTTATTTTTAATCACCTTTTTATTTTTTTATTTCATTATTTCATATTTGTTTTTTTTAAAATCAATTTAATTTTTTTTCACCTAACTTTATTGCTATCACACAGGTGATAACAATCCCCTGTGTGATTGGAGGTGACAGGTTCTCTTTATTGACCCTGTCACCTCCAATACAGGAGTTCTAGCACAGTACTGTGCTGGAACTCCTGTGACAGTTGAGAGAGGGAGAGCACAGCTCTCCCCTTTCACTGTCTACATGGAGCAGCAGGGTTAATTTTAACCCTGCCACTCTGCTACCTGCAGTGAGGAGAGACTCGGTGCCGGAGGATGGAGCAAGAGAGGAGAGAGGTAAGTGCAGGGGGGAGGGGCGGACGGACCGGCCGGCTGCAGACTTTTTACATGTCATCTCGGCGACATCGCCGAGATGACATGTAAACGAACAATCGACTACCTCACTCTACATTTAGTCCTGCTTGTACAAAGCAGGACTAGATGTAGAGAAGGCAACTTACCACCCAGCACCCGATACTTCCCCACAAGGACACCGCTGCCGCCCTCTGCGCCCTGCCGCCCCGAGGCCGGGCATTGGTGGCCTTGTGGGAAATCCGGGCCTGTGTGAGGATTAGAACACAAAGCGGAAAGATTAGATATAACACTTATGTAAAAGGCGAGGAAGTATAAAGCATTGCTGTAATATATAAAAACTTTGACAGTTTTTACAGTGCTAAAAACCCCTGTTCATCCTGCCAGATATTCAGTGAGCTCATAACTTCCTGCAGTGAGCTCAGAATGCTTCACAGAAAATGTAAACAATGTTATTAGTCCCGTCTGCGTTCTGTCTGTAAGCTACAGAACATCTCCTCCCTATGTTAGGAGATTAGAAAAGGGGAAGGTGCTCCGTACTTCCTGACCTAGTGTAACAACGCTGCTCCACCATTTATAAAGTACAGCGAGTAAGTGTTGTCACTCTACAACAAGAATATATTACTGGCAGGACTACCAAGTGAAAAAAAGGAAACTAATGCAACCATCAGAACTAGACTGGAAAACTGCTATATATAAAATTTTTGTTCTTGGGTTTAAATGTGCTTAGAATTGGGGCAGAGAGAATGCAGTGATTGCAAATTAAATTTACTTTTAAAGAGTTATTGTAAAACAAAAATTAAAATTTACATCATGGGGCATAGTTATACAGCAGTCAATGTGACAGTCACCAAACATTCACAGGTTTTTAAACATCTCTTTGAAATTAAAATTCATGCACCATGAAGTTAACTGTAGGCAGATGAATCAGATGCCACAGGGTCTAGAAAAACAAATACTTATAAATAGTTTCCCTGTATATGCAGATATACCACTGCTCACCAGCCATAACAGCAGAGCCTCCAAAATGGCCCATTCCAAAAAAAGGTACAGAAAACTCTGCTCCTGAATTTCTGTCAACCTCTCTGACTGGTCACCAAGCAATTAAACAATGTGTTGACTATGCCCAAATGATCAAAATAATCAGAAAAAAAGAGAGAGGTCTAGGGGCAGATCATTCTGTACCTTATTAGAGATGGTTGTGCTGTAAGAGTAAATTACAGTTCTTTTAAATTTGGTTCTACACAAGAAAGTCAGTTGTTCTCAGCTCCTTTGTATATCTAATCTGCAGCTGGCTCTGCTTCCTTGTAGTTTGTCTTTCAGTTGCACTTTCATATGCACTGACTACGTGCAGGTGCTATCTCTTAAACCATACTGACATAAGCTCAACCTCTGTCAGCTACTTACTTCTTCCTGCTCTTCAAACCTCTCTTTAAAACTGTAGCCCTGCTGGGTTGGTTAGCTCTACACACATTAAAAAAAAAACATATTTGTGCTAACTGTAATCTTACACACAGATCTTGAACCACAGATCACCAGTTTTATCCACAGAGATTTATGTAAAATGTGGGAAGGAACCCCCCGGCCTGCTCCTTTTGATTTTTCAATAGACGGAAGTTGCCAACAAGTGAGACGCCAGTGCTGGGCTTTATTATTAACAAGTCCAGCATACCCTGCAAATGAACTGCCATGAAAGAAACCTGTACCTAAGTTTAATTTATTAAATATAGTGTTTTACAACAAAATTTCACATATCTGTTTACAGGCTGGTAAAATATTTAAAACGTTTGAAACGAAATTGACCAAAAAACATTATATTTTTATTTTAAAATAATACAAAATCTACCTGCTCTCCAACCAGAATCTGAGATAGGTGATGAGTAGTAATATCTTCCTCAAAGACCAGGACTTTTCCCACATTGGAGTGCCGTGGCGCACCCGCTATGTAAAGGAATGTGTGCTTTCCTTTTGCTGTGGTCACACTGTATCCTGTCTCCAGAAACATGAAACAAAAATGGTAAGGTTGTAATTTATTGCATTAAGCACGTAAATCCTTTGTAGTATAACCAGAAAACACAGTATGCAGAAAACTGCAATATAAATCTTTTTTAAAAGTGTAGTTATTACTGGGTAACACCGTGGCTTAGTTGTTAACACTCCTGCCTTACAGATCTGGGGGTTCCCGGTTGGAATCCTGGTCAGGACACTCTCTGCATGGAGTTTGCATGTTCTCCCTGGGCTTGCATGGGGTTTCTCCCATACTCCAATGACATGCTGGCAGGTTAGTTGGTTCCTGCCTAAATCAGCCCCAGTACAAGTATTCCTCACTTAACGACCGAGTTCCATTCCTATGACCAGGTCGTTAAACGAATTGGTCGTTGAGTGAGGAACTCTATACAGTACTGTACTGCATTAGTACACTACTGTATAGTGTTGCAGATGTACAGTACTGAACATTGTACTGTACATTGGGCAATAAAATACTTATCGGGACCCGCAGTGAAGAACGGAGGACATCACTTCCGCCGGCGACACGTCGCACTGACGCTGGCACGCAAGGTCGGAGGTCGGTCATAAGTGCGAGTGGTCGCAAAGCAGGTAAGTCGGTAAGCGAGTAATGTCGGTATATGTATGTATGCTTGTGAGATAGGAACCTCAGTGGCATCACAAGGGGGGTGCAGAGGGTGTGGCCCGCACCTGGGTGTCACCATTGCAGGGGTGGCACCAAAATGACTGACAGTCACCCCCTCTAAAAAAATCGGGCACTCGGTCATGGCCTGAGAGCCCGACAGTGTCAGGAGAGAGGAGGGGACTCGGCGGCATACCTCATCCCGCCGGGTGAACGTCCCCATCTCTTTCTGCCGACGTCCATCACCAAGATGGCCACTGGCAGGCTTCAATCAGATGGGCATGTGTGCGCGATGATGTCACCGCGTATGCGCGAGGTGACGTCATGCGCACCCGCGATGACGACACGGCGGGGTGTTACACGTTCTAGAGACCGGATGATACCCCAGAGGAACCTTACATAGTAAGGTCCTTGGGGGCAGGGACTGTTGTGAATGAATAGTATGTAAAGTGCTCCATAAATTGTTGGTGCTATATAAAAAGCTATATAAAATAAATGGAATCAGTGGCCACATTAAACATTCATACATGCTGTAGTTGGCATCTCGAAGTCCCTGCCTGTGATTTCTGGTATGTTGCAGAGTACCTCCAGACACCAGGAAAGCAGAGTGTCCTGATGAGAAAACAATGACTAGTCCCTATGCTTGCTAATTCATACGAACCCCTTTTCTCTTTCAGGACCTTGAAAATAGGTTGTGAAAGATGACTTTTGAACATACTGTATACCAAGGCATAGGAAAAGGCAGGCTCAAGCCAGTAGCTGCAGTAGCGGATTGCATGTCTCACTGCTCCTGTTTAGCACTGCTTTACTATGCAACACAATTGATTTCCCCCATTGTGTCTAAGGTGGACAATCACTCTTAAGAGACTATAAAGCTCTGCCAACTGCAGGCCCACTTTACTCACTTTGCAAAATTTTGCAAAAAATGTCTGTTTACATCATGCAGTACTGTATGTTTTACAGCAAGATATGCTAGACTCAGCTCTTTGTCAGTAGGTAGAGCAGGGAGAAGTATGAGTCTAAGAACAGTGAATGTTAATTTTGGAGGAAGTTTTTTTTTTCTTTAAAAAATGTTGTAAAATGATTATTTATAATTTTCTTACTTAAAGCCTTTGGCAGGAAGGAGTTGAAATGGTTACAGTGATGCCACATAAACCTGTAATGCACGGGGTGTCCCTAGATCTAGCCATGGCTCTTGCTATTTAGGAAATCTTACCTAAATATCCATACGCTGCTCTTGTTGCATCTTCAGAGGAATCATTGAGAAATGTGACTTTCTGTGTCTCTGTGCTTGCAATCATCAAACCACCTGACCAATCAAAGGTACCAACTGCTCCAAGCACCACCGTATCCTGTACAAAGTAGAACAATAGTTAGATCTGATCCTTTTAGAATATATTTTTGTCTGTATATGGATAACAAAAACACACACATATACAAAGTACATTTAAACCAGCGCATTTATTTAACTTCACTGGTTCCCCTGTGTCAACCAATGCCAGTCTTTGGTCGGATCACTTAGGCCCTATACACAAATGCATGGATAATCAGAATTGCACCCAAATTGTCTATATAATGTCTAAAAAAAATTGTCTATGTAATGTAAAGTCTCTTAGAATGCAGCCTTAAAGTGTTCATAATAGGACACTTATTTACAGAAAATGATCATTTCTGTGCCAGTAATTTACCCCCATGTACAGGTAGCTGCTGACTTTTAGTGCCAACAGATGGAAGATATATGGTACCACATTGGCATATTGCTAATTTTCTTGTAGAACCTCATTTATTGTTCTCTGAGCCCTACACCATACCATGGATGACAAAATATTTCTAAGACTGGGCCACCCATAGCCAATAATGTAGAGGTGTCATGTTGTCCAGTCTGCTCATATGTGGGTATTCTTTAGAGCATGATGCCATTTAATATATATTCAGAATAGAGACATTTGCTTGTTTGCAATGTTTAAAATGTATTTAAACTGTAACTGTAGCCAAAACCTTTTTTTTATATATGTGTGAAAAGTCATACCTTGTCTTTTATATGAGCTGCAAATCCAATTTGTGCCAAATCAAACTCCAGGGAATCACCTTTAGTACCTATAGGACAACACTGGGTTATAGTAAAGTGAAATGACAGTGTAAATCTGTATTGCGCAGATAGTGAGACGGAAAAGTAATGAAAGTATGTTCTAAAAATAAAATGCCAGTTATTAATACCAGAGACATATTTTACAATTCCTTATGTAAGACAGCCTTTCATGTCTCTTAGACTTGTTTGGCAGTGATATTATTCTCTTTGAATTGTTAGCTAATATGCCTGTAAACAATTGATCAAGAATAGCATTGGTGATCTTATACTGAATGCTCCTCAGTATAAAGATCACCTGATTTATAAGGACAACTTGTGTGCCGTGCTGTGATGCCTACTATTTGTTCTCCAGAATGTATCTATATTCTATTGTGAAGTCAACACGAACACTGCAAAATGTGTTGCATACTAATAAAGCAACACTGTTAAGGGAGAGCGGGGTTCTTTGCTTTCCAACAGGGACGTGTCGGTCAGGTGCAGAGCCTCACCTAGAATTATGGAGGAAAAAGCTGTCAGCTTCATGTCTGAAGCTGACAGCCTTTTTTCCATTCAGATCGGCATCTAACAGGTTACACAGCATGGAAATCCTCCCCGCTGTGTAACCCGTCATGGACGGAGCGCCTCAGCAGTGAGGAGCAAATGAGGGACAGGGAGGCTCCTCCCTGGCTCCTCCCTTCCTCCTTTACACTAGCTTGGGGACAGTTAAAAGTGGGGCTTTGTCAGGTGGGGCGGGGCTTCGTCCGGCAGGGGTTGGACGGGACATTCTGGGGGCGAGGCTGGGGAATGTCTCACCCGGAGCAAGAGGTACCGCACGTCACTGCTTTCCAGATAGTAGGGTTCTCAGTCTCACTTTTTTGTGGATGCTTTCTGAGCACTAAATTTAGCAATGCAAAAAAAGGACAGATACTGGTCCATAACAAGTAAGTATGCCCTAGTCTTCCATAAATGTTGAATAAATAATAGTAAACTTCATCCACTTCACTCTTATCTTAGATACTCTTAATGTAATGATTAAGCTGATAAGCTGATTTAAATAATGGACCGTCGACTCAAGAAATCACTCAGCACAAATGTAGATTTACAGCTAGTGCTTCACAAAGAATTAAAGGAGAACTATGAGGTGAGTGATTTACACTCATCCCCATAGTTAGAGCCGACGTGTGGCATTGCAACTGTCAGACGTCGGCTCTATTGATCGGGAAGTGAGCGAACGCATACCATTGCTTGCTCACTTCTCCTCCACTCTCCGATCCTCCAGGAACGGACAGGGGAGGGGGCGAGCACAGCTGACTCTGCCTCTAGATAGGCAGAGCACGCTGTCAATCAGCCAGCTGGGTGGATCTCAACAGTAGTGGAGGTGCTCTCAATATATAGCGGGCAATAACCAGCTATATACTGAGCTTTGGGTCACGGAAGGAGGTTAGTATATGTCCTCCCGTGACCCTAAAGAGAACCATGGGATAGAAAGGTTACCTTTTAAGCGCACTTTCTAATTAAGCACAACTGCCACATTTACTGGATAATTCACTGACTGATTTCACTTGTTTCTTGCAGTTCCTTTATAAAGAACCTACAGGAAGCATATGAAAGCAAGAGAGAACAGGGCCAAGCTTACAGGACAGTTGATATTCCATTTTATTGCCTATATCTCTGGATATACTGATTATTTTTAGATGGCCTTTTCATTAAATTTAACCTGCAAATTTGTTTTTATCATATATTAAGTATTTAAATACAGTATAGTAAGTATTAGTTTTCACCTTTACTTGATCATGCTTAAAAATAGTTTATAACTGTCAATTTTTTGCATTGGCTTGTCACTAAAAACCTAAAGAAGATCTTAATCACAGGAGTTCTACAACTTGTTTTGTGAGATACTGGTGCCTGTTGGCTGCTCCACATTTTGTGCTCATTAAATGCTGTTCATTCTCTGTTCTGATGTGAAGTCTTCAGTAAAGGATTTACTTTCTAGTGTCCATCGCTAACCAGATTTCATATCTCTAGAGATCTTTCAAAGCCCTGACAATGAAGGTGCAATTGTTTGGTAAGGTGTAGTATGAAGAATAGCTGTGATCTGCAGTGAATCTCACTCAACGATCTTTCCAAAGAATGTGCTAATTGAAAATTTTTCTCTACAGTTTATGTGCGCCTTTATACTTTAGCACCACTCCAATGAAGCTAAACACACATAGACTGTATGCCATGTCCCATAGCCCGGCCCATTTATGAATAAATAGTTGCAGAGCTTTTATCTGTGTAAGACACACTTGGTACAGTCGAATTAATTATATTAAAGTGAATAATGGTCCCACAACAAAGCATCTTGGCTAGCGGTCCCAGAGCAGGTGCATAAACAGCTACAACTGTTATCTTCTCACTTTATTTCACTGTATCACTGAAGCTGTGTAAAGACTTACATACCCTTATGTATGAAACATTATGTCATTATTCCAATCACTACATCCAGTGGTAAATAGCTTTAGAGGTATTTTAGATTACATGTTCTCACTTTTTTGTACAAGCATTGGGTACGGGTCACTTACCTTCTATTCCAATCATTCTCTGCTGCAGGGCAGAAAGAAGTCCATCCAGTTTTGAATAGTCATCTACTCTAATGACATGATCTTTTTCATCACTGGCAATCATTTTCAGCTCACTGTAGGCATTAGTCTCATTAAATACATTGCCTACCTGTAAACAATGTGAATAAAAGTTAAAAAAACACCATAGGTAAAACACTATAAATAACATTACAGGTATAGATCAATATAAATAATTGCATAATTTCAGACGGCTGTGCACACCATCGACAGACAATAAGAGGTTAGGCCCTACTGGCTAATAATAACGGCATAAAGCATATCTAAAGCCAAAACTTGTTTTGTTTGGTATAAGTGCACGGTAAAAACCCTGTCAGTTTTTTTTGTTTATTTTTTATATATTTATTTATTTATTTGCGGTTTGTGTTCCTTGTTCCCTGTGTTGTGGTCCCGGACACAATGGTTTTCAGGACAATGGCTACATCACCTCAATAACGCTGTATAATAAAAATAATGGCTGATGTGGATGCTCATTTCTGGAGCTCGGTTTTTAAATGGAGCTGCAGAAAACAGGTACAGGTGGCCAGTGTGCCTGTTAAATGCCTGTGATTGAGCTGTCATTAGACAACTTAGATCACAGGCAAAATACACTGAACCATTTAGAGTGGCTCTGTGTCTTGTGATAGCCAATCATAGCGATTACAAATGTCAACATTACTATTGTTTACATTTGAGAGTCAGGGAGGCAGGGGAGGAAGGAGGATTAAATGTATGAATGAATGAATTAATGAATGAATGAATGAGTGAATGTATTGTAGGTTGCAGCAGATTCAAAGTAAATGGCTTTAAATAATTTGATTGATGGATCTTTTTTATCTTATCTCTCTCTTGTCTTTGGCCTAGCTATCAACAGCTCCACCTCTCTTATGCTGCACATTAATTCCCTCATCTACATCTTCCCACTATATGTGACCTGTATATTAATCACTTTACCTCCCCACCCTTCTGTGTATGGTGTATAGCTTAATGATGTGCTGTATCTACCTAACTCCCTGTTTTAACCACCTCAGTAATGGCGCATTTCTTCATTTCCACAAAATTGTTGCAAAAAAATGAGATCACCTTGTGGTATCTACTTCCAAAAAGGGTTGTACTGTCCTGGCATTTTTAAGACATGTTTTGCAACATAAAGTCATTTTTGTTATGTTTCCCTACACAGTAAAAAATAAAAATAAAATATTTTTAAATACCGCTAAAAAAGCTATATTTGTTATAAATGCATTTTGGTGCAGTGTATAATGCATGGGTAATTACTAAATAAAATAAATAAGTATGTAAGCAGCTTGATTGGGCCGCAATGTACGAGGGCGCGACAAGGCTGTTTTTTTTTTCAAAAATAAAACTTCTAGTGCTCTATATTGGTGACAGCAGACAGAAATTTTGCACAGAAACGCTGCACATCATGTAAGCAATTTTCGTAAGCAGAAATGTAAGAGTGAAAGGTGAGGCATGTTTTTTAATTAAATAAAAATTAGAGTCTATTATGCCAGAGACAACAGGCGCCATGTAAGCTGTTTTATTAGGCTGCAATGTAAGAGGGAGAGACGATGCAGGTTTCATTATAAAATACAATTTAGAGTGGGTTTTTTTCTGACAACAAAGGACAGAAATATTGTACAGACTTCATAGTCAGCAATAAAGCAGTTGGAGTAGGCCACAGTTTGAAAAGGACATACATCATGAAGCTTTCATCCAAAAACCCAAACATCCAAAATTCAGCAGGATTAGCTGTAAATAGCAACATATAGCTCTGCATGTATCACTTTATAGCAATAACTATCTCTTCCTGAAAATGCTGTCAGCTGTTCCTGTGCACTCCAACACACATTGACAAAAGGCTGATGGGAAACTTGACTTTTATAAGGAGCGGGCTGGCACATAAGAAACCCCCCATTATTGTCCCTTCTATGCCACTTGACCATGGTTTAAAGTCCAGGAAATAAATGATTGGTAATTGATTGTTATGATGGTAAACAATCCCATTAGCTTGCTGTTATCCCAAAATGCAAACAGCTAAAGCTCCTATTGAACTCATGGTTGACCTGAACTTGAAGCTCATTCCTATCTAGTAGTGATGGGGTATATACAAGCTAGAACTCAAATGGTTAAGGAACACTATAATAAAAGTTTACGTTTAAAATCTCACTCACCCCAATAATAAAGCGCTCAATGTCTGTAATCCTCGGGTCATTGATGACAGTTGTTAAATTCACAGGATCTTGAAATATATCTCCATCTGTCAGCACTAAGATTATTTTTGTGGCACCTTTTTTGGACCCATGATCTTCATTGAAAATGTTGTCTCTGCAAAAATGAATAGCATTTCAATAGCTGGTTCAGTACAATTTGAACTTTCTGAGAAAAGTCAATTGAATTGTACACTGTGCTTTGTAGATGTACATGATGGTAGGATTGACAAGTTTTATGTTTGTGTTTAAATATTTTATTCTGTATGCTTATATTTTTGGAATACTAGTTTTTACTTATTACAGGATTTCCACAGAAGATCCCTGGGGGTATCCTAAAAGAAACCTATGACTTTTAAAGTCAGAATTCTGAAACCTATGATTTGAAAACTCTAAATTCTGACTTTTAATCACTTTTCCAGAATTGTATTTAATACATTTTTAGGATAGCCCCCAAACTATTCTGTACACTTCCCTCTGGGGCTGCTTGCAATTAAAATTCAGATAAATACTGTATGCATGTAAACTGACCATAAAACAACCCCAGTGGAAATCAACAATCTTTTAAAAACAGGTACAGTTAAGAAAGGTAAGCAATTCATAGCTGAACAGGTCTTAACAGGTTCAGAAACAAAAATTCACTATTTTCATGATGCAATTAAGGGGTCCCTTATTCTGCTTTTTGGGAGTTATACGGTAGCATAGCAGGTGGGCACAGGCTGAAACAATATCTTGATTTTCCTTTGGATTTACATTTTTGTCTATGGGCTTTAATGTAAGTACCAAAAGGGGTCACCTAGCATACATGCTATATGTCACAAGAACTCTCTGAGGGAAATTTATCAAAACTGGAGCAGACAAAATCTGGAGCAGCTGTGCATGGCAACCAATCAGCTTCTCTCTCTTTCATTTTCAAATCTTAACTGAACAAACTGAAGAGAGAAGATGATTGGTTGTCATGCACAACTGCTCCACATTTTGTCTGCTCCAGTTTTGATAAATCCCCCCCTTTGTGTTTGACACAACTGTCAAATTGAACACACACCTGATAGCAAGCTAACAATACTTGACACTAATGTTTTTGTATGGATGCAAATTATCTGTAAAGCTATTTCAGTGGCTATTTTCAATACACAGTTTAATATGCGTACCAGCTGAAAGACATATGCTGATGCATAGTGGATTGTAAGAGTTGGATACAATTTCAAAATGTTTTAAACATTTTAAACCCTTAGCACACCATAAACTTTAAGTGCGGAGACAGACAATCTGTCTGACAACAATTTGAAAGTGTTGACCCACTGGATAATCATATTTTGATCCGTCTGCATTCTACATGTTGTTATATTTGATAATCTGCAATAGACATTGGATTGAATGGCTATCCATGTGCGTTCAAGCGTTATATACATTTTCTGGATCTATGAATGTTTGATAAATTCAAGAACAATATAGTTATAGAAATGCATGGTCCATGGATTCTGTGGTAGCAGGTTTTTAGTAGGGGGATTTTATTATATGTGCATAGTTTGTATTTATTGATAATATTTGACACGATATTGGTTTAATAAATCTAAGGAGTGGTTATATTATAAAGACTGATTTCAGGATGATGATAGTTACATACTAAGTATGGGTTATCTGGAAAACACAGGTGCTTGATAGTAGGAACCATAGATAACAGATTCCATACTGTTTATTTTGTCAACAGTTGTGTTTGTTGTTGTGTAGTTTGTAGCTTTATTAAAGAAGTTCTTCTTTCTGGTAGACTCAGACAAAGTGTTCTCTGTCCGTATTCTCTTTTTGCCGTGGCCTCTGCATTCTTGTTTTTCCTTCTCCGAGTGTCCCTCTTTCCAAAGTTCTGATGTTGGGAGTTGTGCAGCTTTGAGTTCACAACACCCAATTAACTAGTCATCCTCACATTTGTTTGATGTGTTAACTGTGAACAAGGCAGATTATGTATTGTAGGAATTCCTAACACTTACATATAGTGTATATATAGTTTATACTGTTAAAATATTGATTGTTAAAGGTATTAATAGGAGCTTTTGACATATTTCAGGTTCTCAGAAAAAAATTGTGCTACATCAGTAAGGTTTGTTCTTTTTGTCAGTAAAAATAGGTGTGGGAGGTTGGCAAACCTGTTCATGTCAAAGAGGAAGGCGGTAGCACACAATATTTCTCTCACATTAACAGTAAATATTTCTGTACTTTTGGTGTGTTTAAAGGGATAAAGCATGAGGAAATATGCAAGCATTGCAGAGATGAATGAAATATGTTTTTTTTAAATTTTGCCATGACATATACTTTAACCACTTCTACTGGATTTGGAGGTGCAGTCAGTCAGGAAGCCAGCGCATAAATTCCTCAATTCTAAAAAAGTCATGTTATCACACACTTGGCAAGTGGCATTTTACAAAATTTTAAATCCATGACATCTCAGCCAAAGCAACAGTGCCATGTCATATCAGTTAGAGTAACAACATGTCACCAGAGCCCAAGTTAAGACATGTTATGACAATAGTAGTGTGGTGCGTTGACACAGCCAGAGTTGTACTATATGGCAAAATCTAGTATTATGAATAAAGGTCATAATAAAACCGAGTGTGTTGCCAGATTAGATATAATCAGGATCAGCACTGTGTCCCTTTGCTCCCACCACCTCCCATCCATTCCCAGTCTTGAAGATAAATAGCGGGGAAAGCACAGGGAGGGGTATGACAGTGGATCCAAAGACTGCAGCAACTTGGGCAACTGCTCAGTTTGCTCACACCCCCTCTCCCTTGCCATCAGTATTTTACAAGTAAAAACTTAATATATGCTATGTTTTCTGATGGTAGCTTACTCACAGGACATGAAGGAGGGCAGATGCTGTTCTTGTCACATTGCATACTTGTTCAATGTTTTCAGCTTTTTGTAGGATATAGCTGCTGTCTCTGCGGCTGTCCTGAATGTCAAATTCTGTCTGGATCACGTTCCCATACTGGACAACAGCAAACTCACACTGAAATGAATAGATGCAAACAGAATATATGTAAGAAAAATATCCTATGTCTACATATTAGTTTAAATGTTATTGCCAATCTCATCCAACACTGACCACTGCTGTTTTAGAGATACAGGAAAATGTATGCTGTTATTGGTGCGTGACACTCTGAAGAAAGTGTAGATGAAGACTTGGATATAAATTATCTTTGGGTATGAGAAGATGTGTATGTGAAACTTGGGTCTTTAGTTCTTCCTCACCAAAGTGCCACCAATGGACCTCAATGGAATTTTAACAGTGAAACATCTATTATCTTTAGACAGTTAATATCGAAGTTTTGAGGTTACCTACCCTGCAAATTATGTGGAATTTTAATATACACCAGGACAGAATACTATGACCAGTGGTAGGCCACAAATAGGGATAAGCTGCAGGTTTTTGAATGTTTGGAGTTAGGCTGAACATCCAAACAATATTGTGTCATGCATTGTTCATCATGATTGATGAGGATCTACATCGCTGAATGACATGGGTGACGAAATGCTCCCTGAGCCTTTTTTTCCGCGCTGATCATTGCAGATTCTATACAGATTTGAATGGAAACGCTCTGATCAGTGTGTTTTGGGGTGTTTTAATTGCGTTTCAGCTCTGGAACGCGACTAACAATGCACAAAACCGCCCTTTTAAATTTTGTGTGGAAACCACGCTGAAATGCATCCACCCTGGTGTGATTGGGGCCTAAGAGCTTAAAAATGCATTAAAATACCTTAACTATTAACAAAAATATATCTTATTTGTGTATCATAGATCCTCAAATCATCTTTGAATTGGTGCTGACACTGTCCTTCCTTCTGGAGGATGGCTACTTTTGTTCCCCATGGTCCCTGTGTGTGACAGAAAGTAGCCACCGCTCCAAGCTCATTACCATTAAGGACTACAATCTCACGTTTACTTTTTTAATAGGTATTGAAATTGTAGTCCATCGCGATACTGAGCTTAATAATTTTCATTTTTTTTACAGCTTGACAGGAAGACTTGCACTTACAACTCAGCTATTTTTAATTATATGTTCCTAAAATGATAATGGCACTCTAAAGTCTTAGATCTTTTTTTTACTACTCATGTTCTAGCCTATTTAAGAGCATCAACATTGTTCTCCTCATGGAAACACAAAATATAACAAACCTCAGAACATTTTTCCCATATTTTTGTCATCAAATTCAATATAAATTTTTTTGCTTTTTGGAAGTCAGTTCCGTTTATGCTCCCTGAGCCATCGAGGACTACGGCAATCTCCGTTCCTGTCAAAAAGAACAGAGTATGGTTAAAGCAGAGCCAGTATAAAAAGTACATGTACAAAAGTGCATGAAAAATATTCAACCGTTACATGTAGTGGCTGATGGAGTGATGGGACCTCTAAAGCCCATCACTCGTGAAAAACATGGAAAGTTATGGGAAGGCCTTAATGAGATACAGCCCCCCGAAACAAATCGACTTAGCAAACAATTTATCATTGGAATAAATTTGTATTTGCACATGAATATTACAGTGTGGCACTTAATTTCATCCCCACCACAATCCAAAGTGATCGTGGAAGCCTGCTAGCCCAAATATTACGAATCACTACATTTACGCTATCACTGTAATATTAGATGACAATGATAATATACAGGAAACGTAAAAAGAATCTTCAGGATTCCAGCGCCTCTTATTCACTGAGAAGTCATTGTTTTTATTGTATTTTAAAATCACATGGAATCACAACAAGGTTGCTTTTCCAATAACCAATTTTTAATTTTCTATTTTGTCTGGAGCATACATAGAAAATAGAAAAAGACATTTCTGAAAAGGAGTTAGAAAAATTGTTTTAACTTACCACCTTCATCATAGTTGTTATTATTGTTGTTACTGTTTTCATTAATATAGTTATTCATTTTCTTGGGATCGTTCTTTATTTCCATCATGTTACTGCTGATCTCTATTTATACATAAAAACAAATTGACAAGCACAAAGAGGCAGCTGAAATAATGATCCTTAGAGCTCTATTATTGAAGCAGAACTCCCAAATAATATAAAGCACACATATTAGTCCAGTTATATAATTATCTCATTATTGTTATTTTAAGCAATGAGCATGTTAGGATATTTTGCATTGCTGACATGTTTCATACATTAGGATTGGAAGGGAGAGGGTAGGCTTACAGGAGTGGGCGAGCACAAATAGATCTTCAAAGATGTTTTAATTTATCTTTCGCAGTCGATGGAACATATTAGAAGTTGGATGGCGACATAGGAATTGTCAGGACAGCAGGCTCTAAACAGGGCTGTCACCCTCTGTCTATATAAATACATTTTCCAGACAGAATTGGCACTATTGCAGAGGCGGCTCTTTAATTAGGCGAGTTAGGCGGCCGCTTAAGGCCTCGCACTCATGAGGGCCTCGCGGCTGCCTAACTCGCCCTATCCACAGCAGAGCTAATTGAACTCACGGCACCCGTGTCCAGCCCGCACGGCTGCTGCTAGTGCAGGCAGGATGGGGAGAGATGCGTCCCTGCAGAGAAGCAGCGTTGAAGACTTCTGGTCCATCTGGTGTACTGTCCGTTCTGGCCCCGCCCCCTGTTCTGCGCTCCAGTGAGGGAGTTCTGGGATGTAGCTGTGACCTGTGTCGTGCCGTGTGGTGTAGAGCAGCTCACAGTAAGTCTTCCTGTCTGCTCCGTGTACTTTGGGAAGATCGTTTGTAAAGTGTCAAAGAAATTCCTCCTCGTTCTGGCCGGGGGAAGGGATGGAGGGAGGGGGAGTTGTGATTTGTTTTTCTCCTGCCTTTCTTCACACTGCCTCAAAAAGTGTCACTGGTCCCTGGCTACAGCAGTAATGTCAGCAGTTTAAAAAACCTTTGCAGCTCATGCCTTTTTCCCCCGGGTACAGTATTTAGGCTCCATTCACATGCAGTGTTTGCGTTTCCCGTGCGGTTTTCTGTGCAGAAGACCGCGCGGGATAAAAAGGCTATAATGTTTAATCCGCAGGATTCCCCTTTTTTTTTTCACTGGCGGCTGTGAGGAGGAACGCTCCATTCCTTCTCACAGCCGCTGCTGAGTTGGTGACAACCAGCAGCTTCGCAGGAGGTGGCTGAGCCCGTAAGCATTCCTTACTTGACAGCCCGCCGGACAGAAGCGATGTGGACTGTGTTTTATACATAACAGGTTGGTGTGAACTTTTATCTGCCTCACCTGTGCAAAAAATTTTTTTCTGTATTACACAACTAGGACTCATCATGTAAGGGTTAGTTCACACCATTTCCACAAACAGCTTTGATTTTATTCCTGTCCTAGTATAGAGAACAGGAATAAAATCAGTGTTATTTGTGGATTAAGATACTGCTGTGCATTTGTGGGGGCTTGCATGTGTGCAGCTATGAGGGCGAATTTTGGGTGGGTGCTGGTCTGCTGTGCATTGGTTCTGGTCTGAGGTCTGCAGTGCACTGTTGCTGGTCTGAGTTCTACCGTGCAATGGTTCTGGTCTGAGGTATACTGTGCAATGGTTCTGGTCTGAGGTCTTCAGTTCATTGGTGTTGGTCAGAGGTCTGCTGTGCAATGGCTCTACAGTGTTTTGGTGCTGGTCAGAGGTCTTTTTCCTGGCTGTCTCTCTTTTTTTTCTGTTGGCTTTCCCTTCTCCCTCTCTCTTCTCCCAAAAAAATATTGCCATGCAGCGCTAGAGTGTTTGGGTTTCGCTTAAAGAAAAGGTGGCAACCCTAATCAGCTAACCTCCCACTGATATGGGGCTAGCATAAGGCTGCATAGGCAGCCACCTGAGGGCACCCAGTTGGGCTTTTTTCATGATGGGTGTAGGTGGGGGCCTCACATTTGAGTTTCACCTAAGGCCTCACAAAGTCTAGAGCTGCCTCTGCACTATTGCAATGCATTTCTACTGTGTATTCAGCTATTTACAAGTTCTTCTTAAAGGGTAAGTATACTTTTACAAATAGTAAACTGAAGGGCCTATTCATACCAGCAGCTGCATTAGAACAAAGCCAACAGTGTGCTCTGTCCTGGCTGCAGTGCCAATGGACTGAAAACAGCTCATCACACTGTGACCTTTTTTTGTCAGAACTTTATTGAAATGTCACAAAGTTACTATCTGCCTCAGTCCCGTGCGATGCAGTGGAATACCATCCCGCATGCAGATAATTATATTTCCGTCCACGCCACCAATTGATCATTGTAAACAAGGTAAATGGCCTTGTCTTTGCATTAGGATTGCACTGTGCAAGGCAACGCAACCCAACACAGATGGTGTGAATGGGTCCTAAAATGTAACTATTGCCAAAGATTTAGAGATTTTACCTCATTTTCTGTTCTGTGGGTAATGTTTTATAAAACAGAAAGTGGGAAAAAATCTGCAACAGGAAAACAGAAAACAATAAAGCATTGACAGAGGTTCTAGCATTGGTCTACTAAGCTTAGACAGAGCATTTTAACTTCTGTCTGTGTTGCTATTGGAAAGTTTCCTTCACTTCCGGTGTGGGGAAAAGTTTGTCCCTGCAACAGTGAGTAAGGGGATATCTACAAAAGAGGGCCCCAGACAGCAGTAAAACCTGACAGGATTTCTAATCCTTCACCACTCTATCTAAAACAAAAAACGTTTTGGCTATAGATACCCGTTAATTTGCCTGCCTAGCCCCCCCTTCGTCTTTCTGACGTAAAGTCGATATAAGTCTCACTTGGATTTTTTTTTTTATTATTCACCAAACGCATTACTGCACAGATCAGAGAATTGCTAACCAGCTAATATTCCACTTGCCAGACCAGTAAAAATCTGGAGGCCTGACAACAGGTTATTAGCCAGCCCATTAAGAACCAGTAAATTCACAGACTTCATAGCCACAGCTTCCGAGACCTGGAGTTAATGCAATATCTGTAACAGCATAAACTCTAGCACTAGCATGATGCCGGCTTGGAGAGTGAGGCAATCTATGCTCACCCAGGGGCCCAAACCTCTACCCTGTGCTGTATAGTAGGAGCCCTCAGGTGCCTATACACACCTCTCCAGCTTTAGTCCATCACTCCAACTAAAACTAGTGACCCCACAAATATGTGTGCAAAAATTGACTTTCCTTGAAGTTCCATTCTTGCACTTTTCTATGCATGCCCCCCACCCTTTTCTGAACATTATTTTTATGTGCTAGCATGTGAATTTACTATGAATTACAGATTTTTTTAATGCCTTGCAGAGCAGGGGGTATATTGCCTCTCTTTTCATTCTCTGTGTGTTGACAGGTATATAGGGGTGGTAGGGGTGCTATTTAACAAGATCTGAAGTCTGTTTCAATCAGCTTGATAGTGTGTTTGTGTGCATCACCCAGGCCATACCCCATTGATGTGTTATGTCACATCTACTGTAGATGGAATTTTGAGCAATGTTACACATAAACATACACGTGTGCTTCCAAGTTTAAGGGATATGAATGGTAGTCTGCAAATGCCAACCAGGTATGAGGAAAACCTTTTTTGTTGTTTATTTTATCTGTTGAACTTTTCCACTTTTGGTCTGTGTACTTTTGATCATAATACATTTATAACTCTAACCCTAATACATTGGTTACCACATACCAGTATTTTTTAGATCTTCCTTTTTGCCAAACAAGTTATTCGGCTTGTTCTGCTCCATCACCAAACTATACACTGCAATAAAAACAAGTATCAATGTATTTGCTGGTGAAACATGTTCTGCAGTATACAGTTTATATAAGAGTGTGAAAGCAGCTACACACATTCTTATTTGGAGAATGACTGGACTTACAGCAGCCATTTCCCCCCTTTGTTTGGTTTGCCTTTTTTCCCTGGGTTTCTAAGCTCACAACTACTAACAGGCTATATGGAACACATTCATCTGTATGGAGCCAACAGTAGATAGGCATAGCTAGCAGACTGGCACTGAAATGGAACCTGTAAGAATGAGAAACTTGGGGCTGACGCTGCTTGTTATGTGTAGGTTCCAAAGGTGTCATCCTGATCCTGGTTTCACTACATAGGTCTTCTAAAACACTGGTCTCCTAAACACCTCCATTGTGATTATATGTCACAACTACAATGTCAGATCGTCATATGATTAAAGTAGGTTATACACTGGTAGATCTTTGAACGAACATTTGTATGAAACATCTCCTCAGAGCGTTCAATAATGGCATCAGGGACTTCACAAATGTCATTCGGAATTTAATTTGATTTTCATTTTGATGTGACATTTGGTTTTGGAATGAATGGAGTTTTCTGAACGAAAACCACATTCACTGTCAGAAAAATTTCCCAACATGCTCCTTTGAATTTTTTCACCACTGTGGTCAAAATTGATCGATTTCACCACATCAACTATTAGAAAGTCAAACGAACGTTCCGAAATTGATTTCAAACATTCAAAGTTCGTTCAGTGTATACCCTGCTTAGGATGAAATTGTCTGTGTAAGGATTGCCAATTAAAGTGTATGTAAAGGCATTTTTTTTTTTGGGGGGGGGGGGGTGGGGGTTGGGATGGGTTAGACCCTATTTGATAAAATATTTTTACCCCTCTATTTGCCTTGGTTGCCACTGAGACGGAAAGTAATGGAAAAATCTAATAATTTTGAATTGTCACCAGAACAAGAGGTGAGGGAAAATCTTCCAGTTTGGCTTTACATACACTTTAACATATGCTATCACATTATAATAATCTGGCTTTCATTATCTGGAATTCAGCCACAACTGCAGTAGTTATATTAATAACATTTTGACAGATTCATGAAATCCATAATTGGCTGTCAATCATAAATACATTTACCAGTTTTTGCGAGATCAGAGAAATTAAAATTCTTAACGACCCCATTTTCATGAAGTGAGCAAACTCCATTTAATTCTCCTGTAGTGCTTCTATGCTTGCGTGCCTTCATCTGCTGACAAATCTGTAAAAGATGTGAACCTTTATTTAAAAAGATATATTAAATTATATACAATATGCATAGGGTAGCTGTAGGTCTTTCTGAACTCCAGGCTCTCTTATTAATTGAGACATTTTCTTTTGATGGCTATATTTGCTAATCACATAAGGGGTTATTCACTAAAGAGCCGAAGGATCCTTTGGCTCTCATCGGCCAACTCTGCCCTTCGGTTCAGTTGAACCGAAGGGCTGCTGTATGGACTATTCACAATAGCCCGTACAGCAGCCGAAGGCAGCCGAGCCGAAGGCATATGCTTCAGTCATTAAACAATAACAATTGGCCGGCTTCACCCAGTTGTTATTTATTGGCCGGAACCTGCTAGACGACTCTGGTAGGTGCCGGCCAATAGGAAACAGCTGGGCGGAGCTATCTGTCACTAGTAGATCCGCCCATTTTGAAAACATTTTTATTTTCTTTAAAATACTTTTTTTTTTTCGTATTTTTCATCATTTTTCAACAGTTTTTTTTTCATTCTTTTCAATTCTTTTCTATTTTGCTCGGTACCTCAGAGGTACCGAGCAGAATGGCCTTACTACCGTTCGGCCCCTATGAGAATGGAGGCGAACGGCAGCGAGTGAGCTGCCAGAGCTTCAGCTCAGCCGATCCAGATGTTGGAAGTCCCTCTGCACTTCGGCTTAGCTGAACATGCAGAGCATGTTCGGCTGGCTAAGGCAGCCGATGTGCGGCTGATTTCAGCTGATATACAGCTGATTTCAGCCGATGTACAGCTGAAATCAGCCGTACTGAGCCGGAGTGAATAGTTGAACATCGCTCGGCTGACTTCACTTCAGCTTGGTTATTCATTCGGCTGCCTTCGGCAACACAATGCACCTACCGCACTGTTAAAGCATGGTAGAGGCATTGCCCACTTCTGTAGGATTAACGCACGGATCTGGTGTGAACGGCCCTATAATGGGTGTAGAAGGATTAGAATGTATTTTTGCTTTTTATTGCTGTCAACGAAAAGGTTTGAATGATACATCTGCATGATGCGATTCACGCGTTTACATCTCTTAGTTTGTGTTTCTTTTTAATGATCAGTTAGGTGCTTTTGTTAGGTGATACTAGCCTATGTGTTCAGCAAGCTGTGTTGGCATATTTCAGGTTTGGGTGCACACTTTATTAATTAAGCCCCCCAAAAATGTCTGAAAAGTAAAACTAATAATCAGAACACCGATCGGTCAGCTGCTGGGTTGTCTAAGATTTGTGGCTATAATGTCCGTGTGTCGCTAGAGTGTTCGGGTTTCGCTTGAAGAAAAGGTGGCAACCCTACTATAGACTAGTGTGCCTAGCCTCTCTTATGCAGTTCTGCATTGTGTACATCATTGTTGCTTTTGTACTGCTTTATTAATAAACCTCTTAGCATGTGGTTGGTGGGAGAATTACTAAAACATTTAACAGAAATATAATTTGCGTCTTTTTACCGTTACAGAAGTTAGCACTTCTGTTTTTAATATATACAGTCAAATCTGGAAGTAATATTGAGAAGTAATGTGTATGTGACTTTCATTCCAGATTTTCCTTCCCTCTTCACTTTCATGCTGAATGTTAATTGTATGGCTGTTTGTGCAAAGTGGTGCACACTATGTGTGTGTGTGTGTGTGTGTGTGTGCGCGTGTTTAGATTTTGTAATAACACTGATACATTTAAGTGTTATTACAGTAACTGCAAGTCATGAGGACCCATAGCAATATTTTGATGGGCCCCACCACCACTCACCAATCCCACCATCCATTTTGGGGATAATGTATAAAGATGGGCTGCCAGTTTGACAGCCATTTCCTGCTCCTAATGGACCCAGACTCACTAATGACTGTGGAACTGCTCCCAGCATAAACTTAGGGCCCATGTTTCAGCTCAGCCCTGGACACCACTGGGTAGCACTCAGGAACCCCATAGCAGCCCACTCAACAATGGTTATTTCACCACTGACCACATTGTATGTACATATATTCTGTCTAAACAGCAACTCTCATTAAAAAAAAATGCTGCAAGTGTACAGAATAGGCTTCCATGCTTCAGTTTGCAGCTTCTTGTGTAAATCACCTCTCTACTGGTTTGAAGCTGTGGTGGGATATCGTAAGATCAAAGAGGAAAAAACCTTCTCAAACCAACTATGGCACCTGACTAAAAAATAGATGTAATTTGCTATAATAATCCTATACCAAAAAAACACATTATTAAGCCACTGACTATTATAACATATAACGATGATATATCTTTGCTAAAAAAACAGTAGAGAAACATGATTATATTTTACATGTCTGCTGACCAGTTCTTCAATACAAAGTGTTACTGCAATCAGTTTATTGAGTTGCTTATGGAATAAAACCTTTAAAAATCCTTAAAGTGACTGGCGCTCAACTTTACATTCGCATCCCAGAGCTGGCTAAGGACTCGTCCCTGAGTTGACATGTCCGCCCACCCTTTCTCTGAAGTCCCCCACATGCTCCTAGAGGTTAGGTGGATGCTACATCAGCTTAACACCTTCTAGCCAATGCAATACATATATCTGTCACCCCAACAGGTGGGCCTTAATACTGGCTTTACACATATATGTGTCAGCTGGCTGCTGTTCTGTTCTGAGCGCTCACTAGCTCACTCCTGGCACAATAACCAAGCTGTCACTGATAGCTCCGAGTCACTGTTTATGATTGGGAGCCCGTGGGATGGGCTCTAGATCATGTAACCGCCGTGACAGCCAATAAAAGCAATTACATTATCAGAAAGCCCGACTCCACCTCCCATCGTTCAGTCGTTCAGTATGCCTTAAAAGGTTAGCGTGAGCCGGCACCAAGGGATTAAAGCAATTCCATTCCTTTGCCATTGTTTAAGTGAGGCACCCGAAGGCCTATCAACAACCTGAGTAAAGTTCCAGCTGCTGGGGAAATGTGGGATACGTTTAGTAACACTGCTTTTTAATGCTGCTGTAGGCAAAAATGAACAATTAACACTAGCGGGGGAGGGGGGTTGGCCCCATTGCAAGATTAGTTTCCCTTTAAGTTGATCTTTATCAAACTTACCAGAGTACCATTCGATTTTCTGGTTTGGGACACAATTGGATATGAAACACCAGGGGTTGCTTGACCCTGCCCTAGAATATAAGAAGAGACATGTTTCTTAAAATACAAAGATAATAATAAATATATATATATATGTATATATATATATATTATGGATGCACCGATATCGATACTATTATCGGTATCAGTGCCGATACAGAGTATTTGGGTGAGTACTCATACTCGCCCAAATGCTCCGGTACCTAGCACGAGTACTTCCTGTAGCAGGAAGCTGGGCAGCTCGTTATTTAGTTATGTAAAAAAAAAAAATTATAAAACATAGCAGTGTATCAACTCACCATTGATTTTAAAACAGTTTTAGCTTGAAATTAGTAAATTATTGTGCAGTATTAGTGCACACTAAAAAATTAATGTTCTCATGGCAAACAACAAGTATGGATTTAGTGAAAGCTCAAAATCAGTTATAAAATATTGAAACTGAAGCTATCATTTAAAATCAATTCACATTAATATATAGGACGCATGACAGATGTCAGCATTACCAAATAATATATTCTTGCATAAAAATGTACCTCTTTCTTTCCATGAAGACAATATCATGTGGGCTCCCTCATGTCACTATAGCCAAAAATGATATGGTCTCTGGCTGCCGGATGCATTCTGGGTTTACTGACATCATTAGAGACTGCAGAGAGTCTATTGCTTAGGCTGGTCATACACCTATAGACCTTTTTCATTCAGCCTATGGGCTGAACAGAAAAAAATCTAACTCCCGCTGCGACTATTGTATATTGACAGTCAGTAATGACTATTGTAATGATCAAGTATGGCTAGTTCCATGTAATTGCAATATAATCTATGTTTAAAAGCAATTTTTTTCTAAAAATGTAAGTACAGTTTGATGATTTACATTTAGCTGCCTATTTTTACATGTATATCTAAAAGAAATGTGTAAACGTTTTTGCTGTTCGGGAAGTAAGAGCTAATTCTTTTCAGTATGGCTTTGTCACACACTTGAATACACATGACAGCCATAGCGTGACAAATATCACTGGTAAGCACCAAACCATAAAATGTGGGAGCATTAAGTTTGCTGCTTCTGTAACTACAAAACACTTAGTCATTAGAAAATGGCCACATGTTTCTAGAAAATACTTTTGCAAGCTGTTAGTATTCTAAAATTTAGTTGTAATTACATATTCGCATGATGTTCCCTTTCTTGCTGTGACATCATTGGGTGACAGCATTTCATACAGATTTGCAGATATTCCTTTTCTAGTGAATATCTCTATACCAGACAGTGCAATCACCACACTTTATGAATAGCTGCTGAGACAGAGTCAGAAGGAAAGCCAGTTGGAAAGGGTATTGCTACTTATGGACATCCTCAGATTGTAGTTTAGTCCCCATTCACACCTGCCATTAGGGCTGTTTCTAAATTCTGGCAGCAAGATCCCCTCTTCCACAATCACAGGCATGTGTAAACAGCTGCTGCTGCTCAGCCTATACAGGGCAATGATGGCACCTGCTGCTGCTCATGGCTGTTCAGATGTAGACAGACACCGCCAATCTCCTGGGATTAGGGACAGATGATGGTCCCTGGACGCAGAAAGTGATTCCTCTAACAAAATACAGAACTAGCCCTAAGGGCAGGTGTGAATGGGGACTTAAAATTATTTGTTTGACACAGCTCTGTCTGTAGACTGGCACCAGTACCAGACAGGGCAACCAAGGCAGCTGCCTACAACCCAAATGCCGATCAACATTGCTTCTACCACATCACTTCCTGTTTAGCAGGAAGGAGAATATTAGAAGCAATTTGTACTGAGGCATTTCCAAGTCCATATCTCTGGTAAGTGAGTAAGAATACGTAACCTTTATGTTGACAAAGTGCTGAAGAAGGCTGCAGACAGAATGGAATCTACAGAAATCAAGGATATAGCTGGTTGTTCAGTGCTAGATACCGCATCAATTCTATGCCTATCAGAGCAGCCTGTCAGCATGGATTAATCTCACAATGACCTTGCTGTTGTCTGCTTTGTCTTAGCTCTTTGCTGAAGGCAGCTCTGTAACTCAGCAGTGTGTGGGACCTCGGTTGAGGCACTGCTGCTCTCACACAGAATGCAGCGGTCTTTCTGTGCATATTGCTGACCATATGACTCTTCTGGGGCTGGGGGAGGTTTACAAAATAAATAACAAAAAAAATAGACTAAAGATAAAAACACTCTATGTTTTCTTTAAAGCCCAATAGATGTTTTTGAAATAAAGTTTACAGATACATTTAATATCGATCAGAAAGCTTAAGTTCAAATTTTTTACTGTTTGTAGTAGTTCATTTGTTCCGCAGCAAGTTCAAATACTTACTCCTTGGTAGTAAGCGTCAGACACCTAGAAATCAGTGGTCTCTCTACCACCATCGGATATGTCTCCTGACCAGTCAGAGCTACAACTCTCCTTCAGCAAATTTCACACTGCCTGCTGATTGGAGAACTGTAGCTCTGACCTAACAGCGGCATTGCACTGTATTAGGGAGACAATTACTTCCACACAGAGAGCATAAGTCCCTATTGTAGGAGGTAAGAGTTTGGACTTCATGAGGGACAAATAGCAACTACTACAAACAATAAGAGATTTCAGCTGATGCTTCCTGATAAATATGTAAATATATCTGACAACCTTTTTAGAAATTGCGATAGGGCTTCATTTGATAAGAAGAGTATCATTTTCTGCCTCCTTTCCAAAGATATTTCATACCTGTTACTGATAGAATGTTGTCCATCTTGCAGTCAAGAATAGGGTTACCATTATTTAGTGCACATTTAAATATCCCTTCAAATGTCCTCTTCCCAAATTCTTTTAGTGGAGAAACAACATAAACTCTGTAGAAAGAAGAATCAACATGAATCATAAACAGTAGAATGCTCAGGGCCGGCCTTAGGTCTGGGATTCGTAGTTCTACCACAGCTGGAGGGCCGCAGTTTTGACATCCCTGGCTTATGTGAACTAGTGCTTTGTCCGGCTTGTGTGCTAGACTCTCCTTAGCCCCTTCCCGTCCAGCTGTTGTAATGAAACAGCCAGATGAGTCACTCTTAAATGCGGGTGGGCGTTATATAACATCCTTTCCCACTCACGCAATTGGGATGGTCGCACTAGCGTGAAACCAACAGCAATTTAAGCAGCCGGCTATGGCTGTTTACATACAATAGAGAGCTGTCCAATTGCTTGTATGTTGCGTGCAAGTGTGCGGTCACATAGGGGATTCTTATCCCCCTATGTGATAGCAATAAAGTTAAGTGTAAAGTAAAAAAAAAAGTTTAAAATGAAATTAAAGTCACATATAACAAAATAAAAATAAAAAAACAATTTTGGGTATGGTGTTTTTTTGTGATTTCGTGGGCGTATGCAATTTTAAGGCTTGATATGTTTGGTGTCTGTTTACCCGACGTGACCCCATCTTTTATATGTTACCAAAAAGATTTGGTAATAATAAATGTTTCATAACATGTAGGCAAAACTATTTTTTTTCCAACATTTTCTGTACTTTTTTCCTTATATAGTAAAATATAAAAACCCCAGTGTTGAATAAACACCACCAAAAGAAAGCTCTATCTGTCCCCAAATTATATAGAATGCATTTCAGTACAGCGTTGCATGACGGAATAAATGTCAGTCAAAATACTGCAGCGCTGAATACTGAAAAATCGCCTAGACAGGAACACCCGGTCTTTAAGTGGTTAAAGTGACACTAAACTCAGGAGTTAAATCTTAAAAATGCATCCAAGTACCTTAACTATTAACAAAATGTAGTTTGTGTATCACTTAGGTGTAGAGCCTTAAATCATCTCTGAATTGGTGCTGACACTGTCCTTCCTTCTAGAGCAGGGGTAGGCAACCTTGGCACTTCAGCTGTGAAAAAACTACAAATTCCACCATACCTTTGCCTCTGGGAGTCATGCCTGTGGCCGTCAGAGCCTTGCAATGACTCATGGGATTTGTAGTTCCAAAACAGCTGGGGTGCCAAGGTTGCCTGCTCCTGTTCTAGAGGGTGGCTACTTTTGTTCCCCATGGTCCCTGTGTGTGTTGTAAAGTAGCCTCCCCTACAAGCTCACTCCTGTGATGGACTACAATCTCAATACAAATTAGTAAAATAAATCTGAGATTGTAGTCCATCCCAGGAGTGAGCTTGGAGCGGTGGCTACTTTACAACATACACAGGGACCATGGGGAACAAAAGTACCCACCCTACAGAAGGAAGGACAGTGTCAGGACCAATTTAGAGATGATTTGAAGATCTACAGCTGAGTGATACACAATTAAGATACATTTTTGTTAATAGTTAAGGTAATTGAATGCATTTTTAAGATTTAACTCCTGAGTTTAGTGTCACTTTAAGCTTCCAAAACAAAGCTATAAAGCCCTACGTGTCTGTGAGTGACACTAACCAATGTAAATATCATTATACTTCTTTTCTGCAAAGGCAAAAAATAACACACCCTCTCCTACTGATGCAATGAAAGTGTTCTGCCAAGGGTCCATTCACATGTCTGCTAATAAAAAAGGATGTTTTTTGCACCAAGTGGTTTCTACATTGGCAGATCCTGAGCTAAGTACATTCAATTCTGCCATAGTATTGGAAACTGGGGAGTGGTCAACCTGCACCTTGCCAAGCCTCTGCCGCCTCGATGGAAGGGATCTTTCCAGGTTTTGTTGACTACTGCTCAGGCAGTTTTGAGGGTAAGCTCACCGGGTCTATGCTCCCTATTGAAAAAAGGTTAAAATCCTCTCCTCTGGGACATCAGCACTCCAGTTAGTTTCTTTGACTGGGTTACCACCAGCCAGGGAGAAGTCACTGTTCAGTGAGAAAACCACTACTTAGCTGAAGGGAAGGAAGCCTTCCAACAAGGAGTTGTTTGCTATTTGCTATAGGTTATAGGCATGGCAGTGACTATGATCTGGTTCCCCCAAGCAAATCCTGCTTGATAGGGGTTAATAAGCAGAAATGTGTGGATGTTTGAATAGTGCTGATTGTTTATGGTATAAGACATGGGAAACGCTAGGTTGTCTTGTATCCAGCCAACTTGTGATGACTAAAAAATGAGACTGGAATTTTTTGTATATCTAGAGTGCTAAATAAGTGGGTTTGGCTGCCATAAATAAGGGGCATGTCATATGTTTTAATCAGATTCTTTGCATAAATGAGCAAAATGGTATCAATCAGTAATCACTAAATGGTGGACCGTGGTCCAATATGGACCATGTGGTGGTTCTGTCCAGACCATGATTGCCTACCTGCTCTGGGTTACGGCTGGCTGACAGTGCATACCCTGGCCTCTGAGGCTGGTGCATCCACTTCCAGCCATAACTCAGCTAAACTCCTTTATTTTTTAACCTGAACTTTTAGTTTCCATCTGGTTTCTTGGTTCCCTGACATTGGAAAAACACACTTGCAGCTGCACATTGTAGTGCAGCTGCTGTTGTTAATGCAGCCTAATTGGTGAACTTCGGTACAGACACGGACTGAATGACTGGCCTATCCGGACCGCGATTTGGACCTCGACTTAATTACAATTTTACTTACCGGACCTCCTTATATTTTAATTCACTACCCAGGTCTAAATATATCCTTGACATGTAAACAATCTAGTACTTGCTTTTAAAGTGACATGTATATAAGTTCAATAAAACTTGGATTATATTTTAACTGCACAAGTCAGTGGTCTGGGTTCTTCTACATGTATTTGTAAATAGAATAAAATAGAGCAAATAGTAGCACTGACAAATACATTGTAGACAGAAATATCTTTTTTTTTTGTTACAAGAATAATGTATTGGAAGCTGCACTTCTTTCTGCTTATGATTATTACAATAGGTGGGTGCTAGCAGTGACACAATAATGGCACCATTCAAGAATCCAAGAATGCAAAACGTCACTTTTACTTCGAAGCCATGATTTCCATTGTTTTCTTGTGAAAATGAAACAAATGCCGATCAACATTTGTTTTCTACATTAGAAGTTTTTAGTTCAAGACAGCTTAAATCATAAAAAAAAAAATCTGAGATGGTAAAATATTTTAGCACCCTTTTTATAACTAGGTGCAGTTTCTCACCTCATTCTTCTGCTATAAATCCATAACTACCGTATATACTCGAGTATAAGCCGAGTAGCTCTAAGTGATATAGACTGTGTGAGACAATCTCATAATTATGAGTCATTTTGGACATGGTAGACACAAAACCACAACAATATGTGTGACACATTGTGGAAATCACTTCAGTATGTGCAAAGCTGGCCCATGTTCTGTCTCTGCATAAGTAAAGATCATGGTTGTCTTTGTGGTGACATTACACATGTATCTGAGCTGCAGATAGTGAGAATAGCATGCATATTTTAAAGCAAAAGCAAAGACAATGTCAGGGGAACAGATCAGTAACTGAAAAGCAAAGACCACAAATAAAATAAAGTACAAGTAAAAAATAAATATATATTATATCGATATATAGATATATATATCGATATAGATATATATACATATATACAATACAGTATAGTGCAAATGCAAATGTAAATAAGGCTCCATTCACACCTGTATGTTTAGGATTGATTAGCGATTCCTGCATCAGAAACTTGCATTTTCCTGCAGCAGGAATTCCTATTCTGTCGTTTACAAGTGGCAGCTGTCACCCATTCAAGTTAATGATCGGGTGACAGCCACTGCATTTAAACCCCGGCACACTGTATATAATCATATATGATACGATTACATGTGTTTAGAAATTAATCACTCTCCATGGATGCCTGATCGAAGCGATAGTGATTCTTTCCTAACCATATGTAATCGTATCACATATGTCGGCGTTTAAATGCAGCCGCTGTCATCCAATCATTAACTTGAACGGGTGACAGCTGCTGCTTGTAAATGGCAGATTAGAGATTCCTGCTGCAGGAAAATGCAAGTTCCTGACGGAGGAAGCCCTAATCACACCTAAATAGTGTTGGGCCGAACACCTCCCTGTTCGGTTCGAATTTGAACTTTCGAACATGGGCAAAGTTCGAATTTGAACTCAAACTCAATGCAATTCTATGGGGGTAGAACTTTAAAAATAAATCAAATGTCCCCATTTTGAAGCCTTATATGCAATTTATTGGCCATAACAAGGGCATGTGGATTCAGGTACTGCCCTAGGGGACAGGAATCAATGACATTTTTTTTTTAAATACAGTATTTAAAGGAGCAGTGATTTTAACATCACTTAAAGTGAAATGAATGAAAAATTCCTTTAAATCTTGTGCTGGGGAGTCCCCTAAACTGCCTGTAAAGTGGCACATCTGTACAATGTATAGAACCTGCTGCAGCAAAAACTACATTTGTAAAGAAAAAAAATTACATAAAAAAAAAAGCATGCGTGTCCTCCTCCCAAACAATACCAGACACTTTAGGTCTAGTAGGAATGTTAGGAGGGACCACATTTAAAAATAAAAAAAAAAAGCCTGGGGTTCTCCCCAAAAGTCATATCAGACCCTTAAGGTCTGGTAGGATTTTTAGGAGGGACCCCATGTAAACCCTATTTGTGGGGTTCCTCTTAAAGTCATACCAGGCCCTTAAGGTCTGGTAAGAATTTTAAGGTGGAACCCCCCCCCCCATAAAGGGGGGGGGGGGAATGTGGGGTCCCCCCTAAAATTCCATACCAGACCCTTGATACGAGGACAGGCCTGGCAGGGCAGGAAAGGGGAGGGATGAGTGAGCGCCCTCCCACTCCCTGCTATACCAGGCCCCATGCCCTCGGCACTGGGAGGGTGCTTTTCCATGTTCGCCCCTGGAAAAGCACCTTGTCCCCATGCCGATGGGGATAAGGGCCTCTTCCCCACAAGCCCTGGGGTGTTGGTTGTGGGCTTATTCACATCAGGGTACCCCTTTAATAAAGGGGCGCTCAGATGAAGCCCCACCCCTTGTGCATGAGTAAGGGGTTCTTGTACCCCTACCGATTCACTAAAGGATTAAATTGTAAAAATAAGAGGCCAGACTTTTGAAAAAATCCTTTATTTGAAGAAAAAAAAAACAAAAGACAAGTTTTTGACAAGACCTTTATTTTATTTTTTAAAACCCCCAAAAAATGGATCCACCAACGTCATCAAGCCCATCACTATACCTAAAGATGCAGGTGTGAATGAGGTCTAAAGCTTGTAAGGCAGGTATGCATAAGGTGTATATGTTTCTTCATGCAGTGGAAAATCTAACAGTAAATGCTTCATGTTTTAAAACCCAAATTAAGTTTCAGTTTAAATCAGGTAAATATATCCCAGGTGCCTAAAACAATAGGTGTGCAGTCTTGCAGTTCATTTACTTAGAAAACAGTCACAACCTGGGTAGAAAGCCAGCATTATGCAGAGTAGGACCCTTTCTCATTGTGTGGAAGCAGCGATCTCTCTGCAGAGGGCTGACACACCCCCTGATGAGTCAGACACCTAGTGCTGGACCTCTAAAGAAAGACCACTGCTTCCCCACCCTTCTATTCAGGTGGTGGCTGCCTTCTAAAGAAAACAAGCTATATGACTTTGCACAACTATTCTTTGATGCATTTGGTATCCATTAACCTTATATAAAGGGGAACTGCAACCTCTTATCCTTCACAACCAAGGAAGTTGCCATCTTAGCCTCTATTTGGATTGCAGTTGCCATAGTGTTGCACATGTGATCAGCTGTGACACCAGACATTTGAGTGCTTGGAAGTTCAATTGAGAGCTGAAATAAGCACACTGGCAACCTTGACAGTTGGCATGACTTGAAAGTAACTGTTTTAGGGGACCATTAATATGGTGGGTCTAGTTCCACTCTAAAATGCAAGTGCAGTTGGGCTTTCACAGTGAGCGGCGCTCACATGTCATTACGCTTGTGCCGCTCAGTCCTGTAAGAATGCTGCCACTGCCGAAAGAAGCAGAGAACCTTCCTGTAATATCACCAGACAGGATCAATGTCTGCAGGAAAAAGGTATGTGAATGTTTATAAAAGCATCTGGGGGGTTTTGCGGGTTGGAGGGGGCAGGAGCTAAAAATTCCACTTTGGATTTTTGATTCTGGCAAGGATGTATCAAAAGCACTTACCCTTTCTCTAAATTGTCCTTGTACTGCATCACACTTTGTCCAAAGAGGGACTTTGGTCCTGCAGCATAACTCCAAGTCTTTCCCGTGTCAATGTTGAAACATCCAGAAGGGACCAGAACTGCAAAACATATAAGAATAGATAGTTGAAGAGCAGCTCTATTCATATGGATTCATATTCAGCATTCAGCAAATATTTAGGAAGCTAAAACCAGCAAGGTAAATCAGTAAAGTCAGAATTCCTGGTCCATTTATAGGTTCTATGTCAGGGGTAGTGAATTACAATTCCGGTAAGTAAAATTTTCAATTGAGCCGAGGTCTGAATTGCAATCCGGACAGAACAGTCACTCCGTCCATGTCCGTAGCGCATTTGTGAGTTGATAAGCTGGCCCTGCCTGGCCCTGGCAGTGCAGGTCAGCAATCGCGGTCTGGACAGAACCGCCACTCGGTCCATGGTCCATGGAAATAGCTTAAAATCCTTTTGACTTTAATATAACTTTAATAGGCAGAGGACCAAAAATCATGAATGCACGACATTGGTGAGTGCAGGGCAATGCTACACACAGTGGTGTTTTACTGCACATTTGGTGCACTGTAACATACCATGTTTCCCCTAACTAGGTCTTATTTTCAGGGTAGGTCTTATATTAGAGAAATCCCTGAAGATAGTGCCAGGTCTTATTTTCGGGGTAGGTCTTACTTTCGGGGAAACACGGTAGTTGCACTGGCAAGATGAAGAGGGAAAGAAGGGGAGAATTGTAACTCTATTGCTGCAGTGTACTGAATGTGTGTGCTGTATATGTACTATGGATCATGATTTAACCTATTCATGTTAGCAGGGTAGAATTGTGAGGACCTCCCACAAGCTGAGCACCGAGGCGCGATGCAGCGATCCTGCCCAGCGCCGACTACGAGAGGCACCGCGTGAGGCAACAGGGATCGGAGTGAAACTAAGTGAGGGAAGCTGGGACAGGGCTGGCTGTAAATCTATTGCTATAGCCTACTGGAAGTGTGTACTGTATATGTAGTACATATATACAGCACACACCTCCACTACAGCAATAGATTTACAATTCTCCCCTGCTAACATGAATAGGTTAAATCATGATCCATACTACATAACATGTAGTTGTAATATGGATCATTTAACCTATTCATGTTAGCAGGGCAGAATTGTAACTATTACTGCAGTGTACTGGAAGTGTACTTGTTTAAATGATCCACAGCACACACTTCCATTACACTGCAGCAATAGAGTTACAATTCTGCCCTGTTAACATGAATAGGTTAAATTTATCACTGTAGCTGTGTGAGAGCAAATAGAAATGTTTTATTGTTCTAAAACAGTCTTAAATTAAAGTTCTTCATAATAAAAAAAAATGGCCTAAAATCATTAGTCTGTATTGGTTTTTTTTTTAAATGTCACCTGTCCCTTTAAGAAACAGTATCGGTAGTTGGTATCGGCAAGTACATGAGGGGAAGTACTTGTACTTGGTCTTGAAAAAGTGGTATCTGGACATCTCTACATTTAATCATAGTCCATTGATTTGTAATGTACAATGATGTGTAATGTTATCCCATACTCAAATTCGGGGGGACACTTGGCATGCGCTGTTGCCTATTAAGTTTTTGACTAATTAGGCCGCTTCCAGCAGAAATTGGTGTACTTCATATTTTTGGCTGCCAGAAAGCCATTGCCCGTCATGGAAGAAATAGGCTATCCTATACAAAGAGTTTAAGTAGCGCATGCTTGGGTTCCTAGTGAATGAACAACTCTCATTGACAGCATTCTCAGGGACTCCTATGACAAACTTATGAAAGTCTGGACACTGGCTTTCCACCAATCTCTCCACTCTAAACCATATGACACTCAATTTAGCATAAGTGGTTGGACATTCTACTGCCCCCTCTAGGGGCTGCTGCTTACTTTACCTCCCCTCACCCCACCCCTCTCTTAGGCCAGGTTCACACCTATGCGGCACCGCTTTTACACCTTTGTACACGCATGAGTAACGTGCGGTTATTTGCACATTTATGCACGTTGTGCACATTTTGATGCGCGTTTTTACGCGCGTACCTGAAGACGCGTGTTTTGACTGGCAGCTTCTGAAACATTGCGGGCAATGGAGGAACGCGCGTTCAAACTCACAAAAACGTTTTTTGGGGCATTTCCATTGAAGTCTATGAGGCAAAAACGCACGTTTAACTGCCCAAATAAGCTCATGTACCTTTTCGTGTGTGTTTGGCGTTTTCCTGCTGGCGTTTTTCGGCTCAGGTGTGAACAAGGGCCATTTAAAATCATGGGATTTCTTGTGTTGGAAATTTAAAATCGCTTTTCCAACTGCTCAATAATACCTAGGTGGGAACCAGGCCTTAGTTCTGATTACTTTCTATACTCTTTAATTCATTTGTTCTTACTTTTACAAGACTGGTGAGTGCTGGGAAAGTGATGTGCAGTTAGCACCTAGCATTTTGCTATTGGCCTTGCTATAAAATGGTACATCTATATAAAAAGGATGACAGTTAATGAATACAAAGCTGACACCAACAAACCAACCAAAAACCATGACATAAACTATTATAAAGGATTTAAAGTAAACTTGTGAGGCTTAAAACATGAGAGGTGCAAACGGTGGGGCTGTGGTACTGAGCTTGGCTTCACTACCTGATGAGTCACCAACCTGGAACTACATTCAACCAGTGAAGTCTGAAAAGTTCTGCATTATTCTTTTAGGAAACTGACTTATTAGGTAGTGAAACCAATGTGAGAATAACAGAACTTACATAAAAAAATGTTAGAAACATATAATCTTTAGAGTTTTGTTTAATTGTTTGTTTGTTGCTTTCAATATTGCAGAATAAGCTCCCATTCACATCTGAGCATTTTGTCATGTGTTTTCCTGAAGTGCAGCCATGGTCAGCATGAAGAATCCCATTGTTTTCACTGGTGCCTGTTCACACCTGAGGTCTCGTTCACACCTAGGCGTATTGCATATGCGCGTCTGTCGCGCGACCGCCGCACGTTTTTTTACCGCAATTCGCATTAAAAAAGTTGCGCGACCGTCGCGCGTTTCCGAAGGCTACTTGGCTGTATACCAATGGAAACGCGCAACAAAACGGCCCTAAGTAGTACCTGTACCTTTTCAGGCGTGGGCCGTTTTGTAGCACGTTAGGGACGGGCGGAAATACGCCAAGTTGGGAACGAGACCATTGACTACAATGGGATTTATATTTTTGAGCGTTTTGTAGAGTGTTCGTCGAGCGTAGAACGCGCTACAAAACGTTCAGGTGTGAACGAGGGCTAAATGCTGCGTCGCTCCGTCGCTTGTAGCTCGAAGCTCGAAAAAGTACATGAGCTTCTTTTTGGGCTGAAATTTTTTTTGCGCTATGTTGTGTCTAACAACTGTCTCCTCCTAGTAGCTGTCTATTGGCTAAAACATAAATCATCAAGCTTGAAAATGCCTAGAAAACATGCAAAAAACCCTTCTAAATCACCTAAATACACTCACGCTCAAGTGTGAATGGGGCTTAAGGTGGTAACATAACAAGCATCTTGTACATCCACAATGTAAGCAGTACATGGCAATACAAGCTACAATTTATTTTTTCAAAATGTGTATGCTGGTTTACGTTTCCAGTAGTATTTTAACCTTTTGAATTTGTAAAATAGCTGTTAATGTAAAAAACAGCAGCTATATTATTTCCAAAGGGTCCCTATAAAGTATAAACTGCCTTTCTGAAAATTACAATGACAGTGAAGTTTTATGTTCGGTAAATAAGTATTTGTGACCTGTTTTTTTTTTCTGTTTTGCATGTGTATCATAAAAAATATATTTTGTCCACTAAATCAGATTTTGTTTCTTGTGAAAGAACTTGAACTTCTATCTACCATTAGCTAACAGAAATCTGGACAGGAATATCAGCAGAACTCATACAAAGCAGCAAATTAAACATTTGTTTTAGGTAGCACAAAGGACGTGACAGTAGCCTATGTGGACATACTCGAAGAAATGCAAAAGAATCAATGAGTTGTCCGGAGATAAAAGTTGCATTTTAGTTTTTGCTGTAATTCATTATATTTGTATTATAAAGAGAGATATATCATAAAATATCTTACACATTGGACCTGACAGACGCAAGATTTTTCCTTTTGTAATCCCTACTAGGAATGTCTTTCAAATGGTTTTACTGAACTATGCAATCTGAATGTGTTATCCTTTGTTTATTGCTTGTTGACTTTCTACCTTTATTCTACTTTTTTAACTATTTAAAAACAATGAAAATGTGATAAATAAAAAGTAAAATATCTTACACAGTAAAAGAATGAAGAATCCTGTTTTTGTTCCAGTCCAGATGATACCACTTGGCCCAGTCCAATGGCTCCATTGCAGGTTCATCGTTGTAATATGTGTAGCGTTCAGAGACAAGAGAGGAGTTCTCATCAGAGGTCGGAAACTGCTTTGCAAAACAGCATTCTGAGACTTGTGGCTTGTCTTGTGTCTGTTGTAATTGTACCGTGTTCATCTCACTAACCACTCTTTCCCTAGTTAGGGGAAGTAGGCTTACTGCTGAGAAAAAAAAGTCCAACTGATGAATAAATATTTGATGCATCTAGATAAAATAAAGTTATCTTAATAAAGCTACAGAATGCAGTGATTTTGTTACCTAAAAACCTCAGTTTTTATCACCTAAAACTTATGATATCTATGGAGCCATCAGAAACTGATCTTTTGTCACTGATTTCCATATTGTAACTTAAAAAGGACCCTTGTTATAAAAGGATATGTGAATAGAAAATTGTATATAATAGAAAATATTATATTAAATAAAAAATAAAACATTGAATCCAAGTTAGTTTGATGCAATAAAGGATATACAGTATATTACATATTTTTTAAATACTTCATAATATTTACATATGTTGTCCATAGATAGATATGTTCACAAGTTTATTAATTGCCTCGACATGCACAATCTGAGGACACCTCTCCCCCTACAATATACATACAACCACAGAAAAAATATATTTTAGTCTAATAAGGTGTCATGACCACTGCATAAGTAAGATAGAAAAACATAATTTATTAGACATACAAATACATTGATATAATAAAATAGATG